CAGACTCGCTCGCGCAGCGCAGACCAGACTCGCTTGCGCAGCGCAGACCAGACTCGCCCGCGCAGCGCAGACCAGACTCGCTCGCGCAGCGCAGACCAGACTCGCTCGCGCAGCGCAGCGCAGACCAGACTCGCCCGCGCAGCGCTTCGCAGACCAGACTCGCTCGCGCAGCGCAGACCAGACTCGCTCGCGCAGCGCAGACCAGACTCGCCCGCGCAGCACAGACCCACTCGCGCAACGCAAACCGGCTCCCTCGCGCCGCGCAGACCCGATGCAGCGCAGGCCACTCGCTCGCCCGCGCGGCGTAGACTCGCCCGCGCTGCGTAGACCCGCTCGCGCAGCGCAGACTCCCTCGCGCAGCGCCGACGCGCTCGCGCGGCGCAGATGCCATGGGGCTGAGCCCTCGCAGGCTCACGCAACACACGAAGAGGCAGGCAGACGCAAGCCCGTGCGCGCAGATCAAACGGGGCGCATGAAATTCCCACGATTTAATTCCTCACGATTTTATTTTTTGCGATTTTTTTGCTTTTTTCCCCCTTTTTTGTAGCGTGTTCTAAAGTTTGTAAACCTAGACAGAATCAATAGAACGGAAGAACTCAAAAACATCGCTCTACAACTATGTCCTCTTTAACTTATACTTAATGTTAGTCTCTCCATCTCTCTTAAGTCACAGATTTTCATACTCGTCCAGACTCATATACCTAACTACATGACTCTCGCTCCTACTCCGGAAACAGAATCTACTCCGGTGACAGACCAGTACCCTCTTCCTCCTCTCATTGCTCTCGTTTTGTCATATTACTTGCAACAGAACACAAGATCTTTGAAGACGACTCGGGATCGTGGAGACAACGAAAGTACACTCGTCTTAGACGAGTGTACTTTTGTTGTCTCCCTACCTAGTACATCATAGTACAAAAAAGTACAGGACGAGTGTACTAGAACCTGCAATCAAATTTTTCGAGTCAACATCTCATATAACACATCGAGATCCGCAGCACTAAATAAAGCAAGCGCAGAAAACCTAGGATTATAGGACCCACAAGAACATCTTCCTTGGAGGAGTCATATCATCTTTTCCCTTTCCAGCTCCATTTAACTGGCATATTTCCAGCTACCCACTCGTCCTTCACAGGATCCCAAGCATGGGTAGTCACGTACAGCGGCATCGGTAGAAAGCCAGACTCATCACACTTGATGTAGCTATAGAGGAATATAATCCCAGTCCGCTCTTTGGGTGTGCCGCGCCAACACGTGCAGTAAGCGACTGGACGGGTGTGAAGGTTAGAGAAGGAAGAACGGGAAAATGTTGGAAACAGAAGAGTTACTCATTGACATGGAGTGAATAGACAAAGACGAGTGATTGAATGCTCGTTGACTTCTAAGGCACTGCTCTAGTGTTGTTTAACTATTAATTTACTTGTTTGAATTTCACAACAACCAGCCATAAATTTCCCTGGTTGCCACCGCACTTCGAAGAATACTTGTGGGTTCGATACTAATTTGATCACGTAGCGACCACCACCAACTGACCCCGAACGATAATCTGCTAACGCTCCAGGATAATCCATTCCAGACGTATCCTTGTTATCATCCACAACCCACTTCTGTTCGGCGATTCCATAGGCGATGCGTGACTCTATACCAGTCAAAGGTTTGACGAAAGTTACGCCAGGCTTTTGTTGCTGGACTTGTTTTGTGAGCTTTTTGTCACCAAATTTCATCCAGTGCACTTGCGTTTTAGAGGGAGATCATTTGCGGTAGGAGAATATGTCACGTACAACTAGGTGATGTCAGCAGGTCGGTTCAACATCAGGAAAGTGAAGAACTTCTAAAGCTAAAAAATGAGAAGTAGAGTGGTGCTGAGGCTGCTGCAGTAACAGTACAAGTAACCGACCATAACAATCGGCTTCAGGTCAGGTTCCCCCCATCGCGCCATCGCCTTAGTTCGGACTCTGTAGGCTAAGGCTTTTTCTTCACTCGCACGCCGCATCTGCCACACTACTGGACTGTCTCGCAAGGTGTCTACCGACGTTAGAGCCTCCCCTAGTTCATCCCTGTAGGGATCCCGCAAGGATATGCATCAGCACCGTGTCCCTTGGATTGGGTGCATTGATACTGTTGCGGGATGTCTATAGAGATAGATTAGGGGAAGCCTTAACGATGGAGAGCCCACTTGTTGCTCTTCATGTTCTTGAAACAGTGTTACCTGCTGCGGACTGAAGGCAGACTTGGTGCTTGGGTCAGTGTCGTATAGGCAACGTTCGTTGGTTGTGGCGTGGATTGGGTTAGAAGAGCAAGAGGCGAGATAAAGATGACGACGATGACGGTGATGATGATGATGATGATGATGATGATGGTGATGATGATGATGTTACTCGATTCGGGTTAGGCCTACGACTTCCCTGAGTCTCTTTTGAGTTCTACGCATTTCGCTACTGTTGAAGTTGTGAAGGTGGTCCGCTGTCTCTACAGTGGCGCTACTCGTTGCTGAGAGGAAGTTGGTGAGATGAAGCTTAACATTTTCCTACCTGTCAACATCAAGTACTGTGAAGTAGTACTTGATGTTGCCCGGCAACGCGAGCCGTAGTACCATCAGGTTGAAAAAAAAATCGTCCATAATTATAGCCCTCTTTATCGGGTCAAATGGTTCCGGGAATTTTCCACCTCGAAGGTCAGTGGCGATTGAGTCTTGTGGTGGTTCAACGGGTACACCAGGACCTGGCTTCCTTTGCTCGATAACCTCTTGTGATGGGTGATCCCCGACTTGTGCTCCACTTCCAGGATGATCTTTGCTAGACGTAGTGCTAGCTTTCGTCGTCGTTTCCTCTTCCGCATCCGATGAAGCATCAAAATAAATCGATGAGACACCAGATATCCCTTTCGAGACTTTGGAGGCGGAACGGGGTGGAACAGCTCCTCCAACTGCTAAGGGCGATGGAGTTGGAGATGGTATCAGAGGTTGACCATCGAGATGCTTGTTTTTACCACTATTAGGTACAACTGTACTAGTTGTGCATGAGGATCCATGTGCTCCTGTGGTCCCTGTTCCCTGTCCACGGGCCGATCGTTGTTTTGGGACGCAACACACCATGCTTTTTTGGTACCTTTTCTAGTGATTACACGTATCAACCAAAATTATAGAAAACAAAAGCAGCAATAACTAAGCACTTCCATTGAAAAAGGCTTCAAACAATTACAGCAATCAAAACATGAGGGCACAAGAACTTTGAACAGATTTAGAGACGGGTTAATGAGTGACTAAATGGACGGAGTACTTATTGTTACGACTAGCAATGGAATAACTTCAATGAATGCCAGGTCGCCTTATTCATGATTGATCAGAAGAAAGCAACGAACATTTGTTCTTACGAATCTCCTTCACACAATCAAACCGGTAAGAACTTCTACAGCCGAAAAAGCTTGGGGGTATATAGGGGATAGATCACGCGCTACTAGAAGCGCAGCGCCTGTGGGAGAATCATGTGAAGAACATCGCACAGAATAGGATGACAGAAGAAGCAATGGACCGAGATGAGTATCCTAGAGCATGTCTGTGTCCAGATGAACAAGTTGATCTCAAGTTCGTACGTGCACCTCCTAGGACACGTAGATGGAGTATTAAAGACACATAGTATCAATCAATCGATCAGAATGCCTCCACAGGGCACCGACCTCCCTGCAGCAAACGCCAAAGTAACTCTCTCACTCTCGGTGTCTTCGCTCGTGTGCTTCACAGTGAATAGGAGGAATACGCCTACAACTTGCTGTTTCAATTACTCCGTACCGACAACGACCACAAAGCATGTCATCGAGAACAAATCAGCACACCGATATTCATCAGCTCGTTATTGCTCGTGTCGAACACTGTCAACATAAACACTACTACCTACCTATGTGCGTTCTTCTCCTAACCCTGAAAAACCACTTAAACTTCACATACTTCTTGCCTTTTCGTTGTACTGATTCTTTTTTCTCTACATATGATCCCGTGTCTGTGCAACTGTAAGGCCAATTGGATCGATTATGGGCTTCGGACATTTCGATTGCCTGCAACCTTCGATAACAAGGCCCTACATATTATACAGTGTCTAAGTATTCATTCGATCACGACGAGTACAACAAAGCTGTACTCGTTTTTGGCTCACTGATAATTCGAGTGGAGCCGTAACTAAAAAAAGAAACCAATGTTGAGAGAGAGCAGTAGCTAGAAAACCAATGTTGAGAAGATCCAGTAAGAGAGTCAGAGTACTTATCTAAGTACTACTAATAATGACTCACAGATAAAAAGGATTTAATTTCGAATCTTTTCTGATATCACATTCGCATACGCATTCGCAACGTGGTCCACTACTGCCTAGTGCTGGGTTTGTTGAATGACTTCTTTACTTGTTTGTAAGATCTATAATCAGTAAAAATTATCTTGATTCCAGAGAAGTCTTAAAACATGATCACTCTAGCATTGTTGATGTTGATACGCATTTCACATGGGGTGAGGCCTATTTTGGGCTAACCAACTCGGGGGGAACAAGGGGAGACTACTTACTTAGTACGAGGAAATGAAAAAAAGAGTTCTAAAAAATCAGTTTAGAAGACATCGAATCGCAGCTGGACGTCTTCAAAACCTGTTGCATTTTGAGGCCCATCCTCATCCACACACAGCTTGTACTGGGTACCTGAGAGTAAGGGCGTCGCGTCGACTTCAATGGCGAATAGAGTGCCGTTCCATGCGTTGCCGTCTCTTGCAGTTAGAAGGAGGCGTGACAGTCAGAAAAAAGATGGACCGATCGAAATAACTTTAAAGCCAAAGAGTGTAAGGCATTGATTTAACGAGCTTGTTGAGGAGGTTGAGAAGCTTTCGGCTCTCAGCTGTTCCTAAGTGGTGTTTTGGAAAAGGAGCGAAAACAGAAGAAGAAATAAATACAACTTCTGCTCGACTTGCACTTTGGTACTTCTACAGAACTGAACTAAATTATAGCACGTGCATAAAAGGTAGTAGAAAAACGTCGCTGCTGCAGTTCGTTTCTCTGGCCATTTGCGCATGATCCCCGTCCTCCTCGCACTGGCGCACTCCAACCCCAAGTAAGCTTTGGTCTGGTCCGAGCACGTGTGACACACTATCGTGATCGTCTGCGAGAGGTTGGCGTATAGAGTCCTGTTCAAACTGCCAGTCACTCCAGTGACTAAAAACTTCTCTCCGGTGTAGTCGAAACTGCTAGTCGTGGAGTTGCGGTTGTAATCGACGCAGACATCGTAGCTGCCACCGGACTGGAGGAAACGGGACTTAGACAAAGGACACGGGGTGCTGATTCCAGTAAGCTGTTTGTAATAGAGAGGGAAAGGGGTGGTGATTCCAGTAAGCTGTTTGATTTTTATTAGTCTTGGAAAGACTGTTCTTTCCAACTCCATACTTCGACAAGACGCGCAATTTACACATCCTCGACTACGACAATGTGCATATCAATACTTACCATGCTGCACCTGATTGTATACCGCGCTATTGTTCTTCCAAGAACAGACGTTTTTAGTCTCCTGTTGTTCATAACGAAGTTAACATCCGCATAGTAGCCATCGATCGCAGGCAGAGGGTTATCGTTGTAAACTACTACAGCGTCTGTATTCGACCCTTGGGTTGCTGGGTAGATCCCGTTGGTGATGGACCTCTGGCATACTGAACCCACGTAGAGTGCATGTTGTCCATTCGCCGTCCCGCACTTATCGCATTTAAACGTTACCCTCTGTGTCCTGTTTGCGTCCGTTGACCTGATGACGGAGGTTAAGTTTATCACGTTGGTCTCATTCGTCAGTGCGAGGGTCAAGTTGCTTGACCCGTCAGTGCCGTTGGAAGAAGCAAATCGCCAGCCTTGCCCTGTCCACTCCGGTGAATACTCGAGGGGCGACAGAAACGTGCTCTCAGAAAGCGACGTAGACGGCGGGAAGGCGTAAAAAACTGTGGATCCGAAATCGTATGCGAAGTTGATGTAGATCGACACGTGCGTGTTGCCGATCAAAAAGGCGTCCACAGTGGGGAAAGCCGTCAAGCCGGTGTTGAAGAACGTGCGACTCACGTCCGTGCTGTTCACGGCAGTGCAAATTAAGTGGTTAAATTAGAACGGCCGCGCGATACCCTGACCCTGCCTCGACCCTGAGAAACAAGTTGCAAAACATGTGATACCGTAAGCTTTTAAAAAGCTTAGAATTGATGGCATAAACTGCCACCAACCAATTAGCGCGGAAAGCGCTAAGACGATCGACCGCCCGACCTCAATTTAACCAAGATTTAACAAGTGAAATCGTAATTTCTGCCCACTTGCAATGTCTCTGGGTCCGGCACGGGAATGAAATACCGAAAGGTATTACTCACCACCACTAGTTCCTTCTCCAACAATTGCAATCTTGTGCCCCGATCAGCGTCTTTGCATCCGAAAGCGGACAAGTACGCATAGGTGAGATCAGCAACTAATTCGCATTTAGCGCAAAGCTTGATCTCTACTCGGATAGGGACGCCAGCTCGATAGGTCAATGTCGCAGCACCAGCTAAGCCGGATATCGGGTGGACGTATACTCGAAACCCGCTCTGGCCAAACCCGTTCCCGTGATCCACACAAAGCCCATACTCCCTTCCGATCGTCAAAGCGGACGCGTCTATCCCGCTCATCGCGTAGAACCTTTCGCCCACGTAGCCCGCGCTCGCAAATGCCACTGGCGTAGTCACTTGAAAACCTAGGTCGCAACTCGTAAACGAGCTCGACAAGAAACCCTGCATCGCGGCAGAACAAAGACCGTACAAACAGCGGAAGAAGATCACCTGATCCGGCGCAGCGTGGACGGAGGTGGTCTCTAGATGCTCTTAGAGGTAGGCTTTTGGTGTTCGTTTATGGTTCTCCCGCTTGTTATGGCTGTCCCCACCTAAGGGAGAGAGCCATAACAAGCGGTAAGAAAGTGAGCACCTTTAACCTACCCTTAATGCTCGATAGAAGTGACGAAAACAGTGAAGCCGGAATAGCGCATAGGTTTAGACTCAGTGTAGAGAAGATTCGTTCTCGTTGAGCCGTCCATATCGATGCATAGCTCAAAATGCTTGCCCAGAGTGAACTGAGACACGTCTTGGGACAAACGGTAGATGCCACCTGTGAAGGAGGTTAGTGGCACTCCATAGCAGCTGCTGAAAAGAGCATTGAGATCAAAACACTACAACTTTTAGCCAGAGTAAAGTGAAAAAAAAGACCATTGAGATTAAAACGCAACTCTTAGCAAAAAAGATCGCTGGGCCCAACAGGATCAGGAGATCGCGAATTCCCAATAGTTGTACCTCCACTCCCCGTCCCAATCGTTTCGTTCACCAGAGTCACATTATCTGCATCCACACCTACTCGGATAGCCGACAGGCCCTCAGCTGCGCAGTCTTCCGCCAAAAACGCTGTGCTATGCGCGTCTGTGCAATTCGGACACTGGAATAGCAGCCCTCCATCTCCCTGTTGCAGCACTGCCACCCCTGCAGAGGTTACAGGCGTCAGATAGATCAGATACATCAAATCTCCGTAGAAGAAGTTCCGCGTGTTCGTGGTGTTCAGATCGACACACAGGCGATAGTCGAAACCCTCCTCTAGATGGCCAGCGGAGAAAGGAAAATACTGCATTTCGGTGCCATTGGGGAATGCGTAGACTTGCCTCTGCGTGGAGCCGGGTGTTAGAGATGGGACGAAAATTTTCGAAAAAAATGTCCATCTCGATTACATATTTTTGAAAACTAATGATGGTTTGGAAAAGGACCAGTATGCTCTCTGGTATGGAAGTCTAGCAGTGTATTTGAGGTCGACGTGTCATTCAAGGAATTCACTCTCTGAATCTAGAACCATGTGTCTTCAACTCACTAGGACTACACACCCTCAACAACTCCTGTTTCCTAACGTCTGCACCCCTGCAACCGCAGTCGCATTTCCACCACCCTCCCGCACGTTACAACGACCGCTATAGCTCAGCAGCATGTATCCTTCTGTCCCGTCTCCGCACCCTGTGCACGTGAAATTCACCCACTGCGGATCCACGGCTCTTACCCCTCTTGTCGACACAAACGGAATCTGCGCTGTGTACACAATTTGGCCAGTGTCGCCCATATTTAGAGGTTACGGAATTACATTCTTCAGAACATCCCTGGCCTCTTTTCTACTAGGAAAAGCAGCGTCAGGGTGGATGGTAGTGAGGAATGCAATTCGGAAACCCTTAACATATACTTGGGTCCCGCATACCCGTCTAAATCAGTGCAAAGACGGAAATGACGCCCGTCCTGTAGCTTGCGAGTGTTGAGGCGAAGAACGAACAGCGTGCCGTTGTAGACGGAGGAAAGTTTGGTGGAGAACAGAGCGTCCGTGTCGAAACTCGTGTTCACGTAAGTGACCACTGTGTCGTTGCCTGCTTCACTGTCACTGTTGCCGGCGCCGATTAGAGCACTTTTGTTCTGATGGAACTCTTCGTATACTTTGTGGCCTCTTTTTTTTTCGACTTCTGCTCTAATATGTTCTTGATTCGCTAGAACGAAACCTAGTGGCCCTCATGTTTACGATAATGCACTTCAGGTTCAGTCTAAAGGTGAATCTACATAAAAACTGCATCTACTTTTTTAGTCATAAATCCAGCAAATCCGTGATCCTCGGTGTCAGCTTCTGCGTATCCAAATAGCTGATTCGAAACGGCACGACCTCTGTCCCAGCCGTCACGTTGTTCATCGGTACGCTGTCTACTACGCTTTGATCGCATTCTGTCGACAAGTAGGCCATACTATCCGTAGAGCAAGGTTGTTCACCATTTAGTGGGTCCACTACGCCAGTGCAGAACAAACTGACATCCGCATACGCCATGGTCAAGCCAATCACCAAGCCAGTGGTAACCAGATGTACAACGCCACTGACGTAAACCGTCAAACCGGTGTCGCCGAACAAAAGCTTAGGACTATTGCTTCCGTAGTCCACGCAGAGTCGATACATTGCGCCAGGGTTCAGTCTGGAGGCGTCAAAGGTAAACTCGAAAACGCCAGGATCACTACTGCTTTGCGCCGTATTCGACGCTTGTACATGTGAAATCTGCCCTGGCTGTGCCAAAACATTCGTCATCGCAAGGGATGGCCTTTCGGTTGGGTCGTCACTGGACAATAGGATCTCGCACAAAGGTTCTAATCGCGTCTCTTGTCTCACCAAATACGCATTCACCCCTCCAGCTTGGCACAATGCGTCGCTTCCACACGTGGCTCGCAAGGTCTCGTTCTTCTCCGGCAAAAACGTAGGTGCGTAGCTCTCTCTTGCTTCCACTTCCAACAACGTGAAAGTGTTCACGAACACCTCTGCCCCACTGAAACCGTAAGTTCCGGGTCCTCCTTTTCCGTCCATATCAATACACAAAGCGTAGCTTTGTCCAGTGAGCAAATGAGTCGTATCAAACGTGAAGTTGTAACGGCCTAGTAACCGCGGATCTAGATACTCTTCACCAGTTTTGTTCTTCATCCAATTTGCAAAGGTTTGTTCTCCAGGCACAGCTGTCACGCCGCTCTGAATGCTGGACAAGAGCTGAATCTCTGCTGCCTCTGTATGGCGTCTCTTGCAGTCTTGAGAACCTAGATAGGCGGTTGTGGCGTAGACGCTGCCCTCTTGAGTTAGAGTCCGCGACTCGATTGCATCTCGGCCCCCATTTTCATTTTCTTGGGGTCCCTTTACTACTACCCTTGTAGCATTTTTCATAGGAATATTAATACAAGGGAAAAGGGGACCAAGATGCCGAGAATGATGGAATGTATGTGCGTGGGTCCCTGATGACACTGTTAGCAGTGCCCGTAGAGATTAGTTCTGATAGCACCCAGACAAAAGTCCAGACGATAACAGCACAGGTCGAACCATGGCGGTTAGTAGAGACTCAGACATTACTACCACCCTTCGTAGTCAAACGTGTAGTATGATGGAAAAAACTAAAAAGCTGCGCAACATAATAGAAAATCCATTTCGCCCGACAAAAATTCTTCGTAGAAAGTCGTCACCAGTTCGGAGCCGTTGGAGAAATTCTTGGTGACGTTCACATCTACCGTTCTCGTCTGTGTCTGATTCAGATTGTCCAAATACGTCTCCTGTCGCTGTTCGGTCTCCTGGTATGAAACCAAAATATGTTATCATTATCATACTTTTCTACTTAAGAAACTTGATAATGATAACAGATTTTCTTTTCATACCTGGTAAAACACTAGTATCGGTTCGTCTTGGGTGAAACTGCGAGTGACGTTGATTTCCCTCGTCTCTGTCGGCTTACAAGTCGGGCAGTAGATCTCGAATGGGAACGTCTCGTCTCTGGTCGCGACGTTGCTGATCGTGGTCATGGCGCGAATGACTGGAGTCACATACACCGTCTGAATTAGAGGCTGCGACATTGCATTCTTCAGAACATCCTTGACCTATTTCCCCCTGGAAAAGGAGCCAAGGATGGTAGTGAGGGATGTAATTCGGAAACCCTTAACTGAAGAGAGTCCCCATAGGTCATCGTGCCAGTGTCGCCATCTTTGTCAATGCAGATGGGGTCTTAGGGGTTTAGGGTTTAGGTGCTCGCTAACCCCGCTTGTTATGCCTGTCTCCCTTAGGAGAGCCATAACAAACGGTAACCAGAACACCTTAAAGGTGTACCCTTAATGGTAGTAAACGCCTTGTGACAGTCTCGTTGCGTCCACTTCGAACTCCACAAAAGCGCTGCTATCATTACCAGCGTTCAATCCTAGACCACTGCCAGAGTTCACCAATTGCTGTGCGGCCACGGTACTAGAATCTGTGAAAGCTGGACTTCTGGGTAAATATTTGGCTGTGGTTGCGTTGGTTAGTATCGTCGGCATAGAGTTCGTTGCTGAGGCAATTTTGGTGCTTAGCAAAACGCCACTTTCCGCCGATAAGCAGTCGACGAAGTACGGACGCCTTAGAGCTCTCCCTAGTAATCCATCCTGAGATTCAATTCCTAGGGACTCAACACTTTTCCCCTAGAAAGACAGCCCACCCAGCCAGCATGAACAACCTGCGACTCAACTCATTTCCCCTTGAGAGGCCCGCCCATGATGTCTCGAAAGATGGATTAAGAAAAGCCTTAAGTACTGTCTTGCCAGATAGGCGGTGCTTTTGCCAGGCACACAGGTCGGGCACTCGAACGTGATGATTTGCGACAGCTCTTTCTTCAAATAACGATGCCTGGTCAATATCCCGGTTGCTGGAGTGGTATGCACCGTCAACTGACTCCACCCTGGCTGGTCGTTTGCGCTGGCAACCACTAAGCAAAGCTTCCAGATTCCACCGGTAGGCACGCTGGTGGCGTGGAAATTAGACGAGAGGTGGAATAGAAGCACTCGAGACAATCAAGCTTATTTGTTCTATCCATGTGAGTCGAAAGTATATTGCATTGGTAAGCCCTGTGTTGTCTTTGATTGAGAAGCTATGTGAGTGGGAATAGAAGTAGTCTGTAGTACTAAGAACATCTTTCCTGCACCAGCAATGAAAAAGAGAAACCACCACCATCCCCATAACCAAAACAACCGAAAAGAGCGTCCCATCAGCGTACGTCTTGATATCAACTGCAGGGTCTGATACCTCCGCCACCAACTTCGTATCCATACTGGTCACTGCTCCCGCAGCGCCGGTCTGACAGGTCGTGCCCAAGTACGCGATTGTATCGTTGGCTGTGCATCCGCTGGGACAGACGGGGGTTAGAGGTGTAAGCCCCTCCTATGTATAACACAAAAATTTGCATTCATAAGCAGCATTTATTCTTTGCTATCATTTACATGCCGTCTACGGGGGACAAATAACGTAGTTCCAACAGTCCAAATACAACTACCGAAAGTACTTAACTGAATTATAATGTTGAATAATGTACGCTCATCCTCACCCCCACGGCGTTCATAAGATGAACAACTTCTGTCCTGGAGCGCTGTTGATCACGTTCGTGTGGTTGCGGATGATATCGATGTAGCTGTCTGTTCCATTGATTGGATCTGACCTCCAAGTAATGCCAGGGGGCGAAATGTACACGAATTGCTGCGCGTCTCCACTTGCTAATGCGGTGGCTGTGCCGTCCAAATCGGTGCAGATGGTGTAGTACTTAGAGGATACCACCTAAATTCATGTTGATGAGGGTCATCTTTGACGCCCTTTCTCCTTAAAAAAATGGGTCAAAAGTGTCCAAAGCTACTTCTTTTCGAGATCAAGAACTAGGGCAGGCCTTAAAGTAATCTCCGATACTCAACAGTTCTGCATCTACTGACACTGTCCAAGGACTAGTTCCGAGTGCACTGACCAGAGGCGCACTAGCACTCGAGTCCGCGCCGACAGCAACTTGACCCGCATCGAAATCTGTAGTGTCACACCCGACAGCGGCAGAGGCCAAGTACAAACTCGTAGCAGGCGTGCACACTGAACAAATAACCGAAAAGTCTTGTGCTACGTCAGCTGCGACAACGGTGTCAGCATTCAGTGTGGCGCCTGTTTGTGAGAGAATGGGGGGACAATCGAGACAAGTTAGTAACCAGACACATCAATAGACTCCAGATTGATAATAATAAATCATCATGCCATTGTAGCCACTGACTACACCAACCTATCAACGGCCCGAGAAGATACTAACGCAATCGTAAAGATGAAGAAGGGCTAGAAACTGGCCGAGCCGCGATGAGCACATATCCAAGAACGACCAAGCCACGCTCGCTGCAAGAGATGAGACGGGGGCAACGCCTTCTCACACATCGAGCCGACTGATAAGCGACCCAAAATAGAAAGCCGAAACAGAGAGCAAAGCCATCACCGAAAACAGAACAGGCGCCAAGCTGGATTAAATTACGAAACGGCCCAACAAGCTCGAGCGAGCGCGGGTGACTTCTCGCGGCCTTTTGCGGCGACCGCTCGCCTTGACGCGCATGGCGCACAAAGCTGGCGCCCACTTCTCTTGTAGAGTTGGAAGCATTTCACGCGGAAGCACTTTGCTCCAGCTTTTGCGTCCAATTCGGTTCATTCTATGCCCTAAAAGTTGTCCACGGCGATGCGCTTCGCCACGCTGCGGCCCGCGGTGGACAGTTTCACACACAGCGGCGAACAGAATTGCGAAACGCCTCACCTTTGGCGGGCTGCTGCGCCCCGCTGGCGCCTTCAGCAAGCTCCCGCCAGCGCCTCTGCCTTGGCCGCCCATCGCAAGGCCCGCCGCGGTCGCTAAATCCAAGAGGAGAAAGGAGACGCCAAATACAGGCGCACAGACTAGGCCGCCCCCGTTCCGGTTCGCCCTGTCGGCGCCTATGTGCTTCGCAGTGGGCGCCTCGCTCCCGGCCTGGCTCTGCCTCTTGGCCACTTTTATAGCTTCAACAGGCTAATGCTACCCGATGGGGAGGCTCGGATGCTGCTCCCCGAGACAGTATAGGCCCGCTAGCCCGCGCGCTGCCAATCAAATACCTAAGGATGTGGAGCCGCCGCGCGCCTCGCTATGATCGAGCGCACCCGGCTACCCGCCTGAGGGCGTGAGGCCATTTACGCCCCCGGGAACCCTTCGCAGCTAGTACGGCGCGAGGTCCACTCTCACAATCATCCTAACACTCAAACAAAAACAGCACCGAGAAAGTGAACGAGATACCTGTAATATACGTCGTCAACTCTGTAAACCCAAACGGCAGCGTCCCCGTCGCCCCGTCCAAATCCATGCACACAGTGTACCGGTTCCCACTTGTCAGCCCACTGGCGTCCACAGTCGCCACGTACCTGTTTGCTCCTGCGCCAGCGTCTGTGGCCAGAACCACGGCATCCGCTGTCGCTGGGCTGGCTCCAGTGTGGCTCCCGTCACTCACAAACACGTCGCAATCAGTCTCAGCGGTCAGGTACAGAGCGGTAGCACCAGCAACGCAATCTGCGCACTCGAATCGGATCTCTTGCCCGGCTTTTTGGACTATGCCAGGCGTCAAAATCGAAATGCTCAAGATGTACACCTGTTGAAACGTGTCGGCGAAGTATTTTTCAGTGTTAATCCCATCATAGTCCATGCAGATCCGATAGACCATCCCCCTCGTCAACATCGTAGCGTCGATTTCACTGTACCACTGCCCAGCCTGGTTTTCCCAAGGATACTCCACAGTCCTCAAAGCTCCATTGGCTGTCATCACCCCAGTGTTCAAGTCATACTCACACATGCCTCCGAGGTGGACTAAATAGATCCTAGTTTCCGTTCTCTGCCCACCAAAGGGCGTAATATACTTGATCCGCTGGCCGGTTGCTGGATCGAGCCTGCGATAGCGGAGACCGGTTACGAGCGACATAAACACTTTGGCACCGGTGTCGCCATAGAAGAGAGTGGGGAGTTAGAAGGGAGAATGCGAATCACGGTTTTGGCAGAAAGGTATCATGGAGGTTCACCTAATGATGGATCTAGAAAAGTGGCTGCACTATCCTTACTAGTTGTGTGGAAATGTAGAAGCGCCGCCGTCTTCGGTAGCATGTAGACAAGTACCCCAGTCACATTATCACAGGCACAACATCGCTATCCCTGTACTCATAATAGCTCGCGCCGTTGTAGAACGATGTGAAGTCTCCATCTAAGTCGATGCAGAGCGTGTAGAGCTCACCCTGATAGAAAGGCGAAGCGTCGAACGCCAAAGTCCACTTATTTGTTGTCCCCACTTGCGTTATCAACGAAGGCGCATTGTTTTCGTTTCCTGTATTATCCACTCTGGGTCTCGACGTCCCGGTTCTAGTGTCATGGCAGCCGGTGGGTTCGTCTCCTCGTTGGCGCGTCAGGTAGGCGGGGATTAGAAATGAGAGGTCTATTTTGTCGCTGATGTAACATATTAACCATCATTATCCATGTGTCAGCATTCGATAAATTGCAGGTACTGAAAATCCTATCCCTATAAGAGACAACTCAAGCATGGTTCTTCATCATAAGTAAGTATTCGCAGTGCACCCGTTGCATGTGAAGGTGATCGACGTACTAGACTGCGTTGGCACTGCTCCAATGTATTCATCCGGAACTGGGGAGACGTACACTTTGTACCCACTAGGACCAACAAAGCGATACCCTGGACCATCATAGTCAATGCACAACCAATAAAGTCCTCCAACCAACATGCCAATCGTGTCTAGCTTCAAAGAATAGCGGTAGTTGTGCAAAGTATAGGACGTCACCCGCATCAAGGTGTTGGATTTACTCAGAATCCCCACCAAAGCTGGGTCTGCCGCTATTTCCGCATCAATGGCGCTGGGGTCATTCATTGTCCTAGGATCTGGGCAACTGCGACTCGGCACGAACGACAGAAACGCCACGGTTGTATTATCCGTACATGTCGGACAATCCAATATCAACTCTGCAGCTGCTGAATTCGGCTGGATCGCTTTACCATTGTGCTGATTCCCGTAGATCAGAGGTGTGATGTAGAACTTCCAACCTGTATCGCCAAAATACTTCGGATTTCCGGTTCCATCCGCATCTACGCACAAGTGGTAGAACAAGCCTGGGTCTAAAACGCTGCAATCGAATTCGGTCTCCATCACGCCACTAGGATCGCCGCCAAACACTTGACTTTGGCCGTTAGAGAGCGAAAGAAGTCGTCTAGGTCGCTGCCTCGGCGGATGAAAAGAAAAAGTCACACACAGAAAAAGTAGAGGTACGCAGTACAAAAATAGAAACGAACCACCTGAGTTGTCCTTTCTACACTCATATGTTGCCGAAATTGATTCTAGTAAAAGCCCCCTCAGTCATAATACTCCTAAACGGTGCCAATGCTGCTACATCGTTGTAGTCCTGGTTTATCGACGTGTCACAACCGTCGTAGACCAGGTAGCCTGTCGTTTCAGCGTTGATATGCGAGCTGTGCGTACCCGTCACTCGCATCATCTGGAACTCCGCTTTCAGCAGAGTAGCGAGTTCTTGCTTCTTGTTATAAGCCGTCAAGATGTTTCTGACGTAGATTTTATAGCCGCTTTCTCCCCAAGGCATTTCGGTCGTGTAGCCATCTAAATCGACGCACATTTTGTACTCTTGTCCGACGGTCAAAACGTTGGCGTCTAATTGAGCGAAAAACTCAGTCTTGTTGGCACTGTTGACCAGCAGGTTTATCTTAGAGCTCACCCTGATCCATCTTGAGAGGCATCTTGCTGCTTCCTTTCCCCTATGCAACAGCTTCAAGATGCCTTTGAAGATGGCTTCGATAGGGATACTTAATTGAAGCCTTAATTATATCGGCCCCTGAAACACCGGTCACGGCAGTGTTCAAGCCGTTTGTGATGTCTTTATCGCATGCTGTATCGATATGAACTCTCGTATTCGCATCGCAGTTCGCGTCGGGCCAACAGGTCACCGTCAAAATGTTCGGTGCATAGGTTCCTACGTTTTTTTCGATCGCGCCTTCCATGGAAATCGACCTTATGGGTGAGATGTACATGTCGTACCCCGTATCTCCGAAGAATAACGCGCCTGAACCGTCCAAGTCACTGCACAACTTGTAGTACACACCGGCAGCTAGTGCGGAAGCGTTGAATGTGGCGAAAAATTTCGTGTCGTCGCCCCCATTAACGGCAGTGAAATTCACAGCTCCCGTATTCGTCGGAACGTTCTCGCTTTTGCCACAGGATGAAAGGCGAAACTTTATTCTTATGATGCCGAGCCCTATTGTCTATTTTGATTTTGCCCTGTCATCATTATATTGGCACTGAAATTGACAGCTCCCGTATTTTGGCAGAGGATGAAAGGTGAAAATCTCATTATATTCAAAATCAAAATCTGGGAAAATATGAGGGGAAGAGGCCATACTCCATTACTCTCCGCCAAGTCGCAGTCCTCGCTCGACAAGTATGCGGTCGTTGAATTTGTGCAAAAACCGGTGGTACAGGTGAATTCTATCCTCTGGTCTACCGTCTTGAAAATGACGTTCCGATCCACGGCAGTGATGGCGTTGACGTACAGCTTCAAGCCCGTGTCTCCCATCGCCCGAATGAAACTCTCACCATCCACGTCGGTACATACAGCATAATTCTCGCCACGGCGCAGGGGAGTGGCATCGATAAATTGCCGAGTGTTCTGTAGTTATTGGGAGGGGACGTCGAATGAAAGCGCAGAGAAAACAACTAATCCTTATGGTGTATCATTTTTGATACAACAGGAGAGTAATGATGATGTTGCTTGTGAAGATGCAAGTGTACAGTTGTGAAGATGATATCCATTCTCGACTTGAAAGAGAATTGGTAGAAGTACAACCAAAGCCGACAGTCCGGCGCCTCCCACCAGCAACGCACTGCGCACAGAAAATCCGTCCACTGCAACGAGACGCTGATTACCTCCAATCTTCGCAAAATTGCACACTTTCGACACATGCAACTCTGTCAAGTCGCTATCCGGGTTGCAGCTATCACAATAGAGCTGGATCATCACTCTGATGTCAGGCTGGATAGCGACAGGCGAAAACCTGTACACTGTCGAGATGTACACGTTGAATCCGCTATACCCGACACCCAAATTGGTGCTCGTTCCGTCCAAGTCAATACAGACCTTGTAAAACTGGCCCGCACGCAATATTCCAGACACCACATTAGGATTCGCAACAAGTTGATCGATCTTCTAGCTCGCATATCTATTTTCTTTTCCCTTGAAAAGGTCAACATAGCCACCTATGGATTCCCTTTTAGATGTTGATAGTCATAGCCTATATTATATGCTTGTATAGATAATACATAGGTCAACTTCCACACACACCTTAACCACAGGACCCATTTCAAACGTGGTACTTCCCACAAATATGGGCGTCAAAGGAAAACTCTCGGTAACGAGGTTGCCTTTTCTTTCGAAGGTTAGAGGGAACGATCGGCTTGTTGGCAACGAGAGGGAAACTGACACTCCTTCGACATTGTGTTGCACGCAGAGCAAATACTTGCATACTCAAAAAGGACTCTCTCTATCCATCAACCCTACTCCAGCGATTAAGCAGAACCGCTACGCACTACTTCGGTCACATCTCTTTAAAAGCCGTAACTGCAACCCCACCATGTTCGCCGTATCGCATGGCTCATCCCGCAAAAAGGGACTCCCAGATATAGCCGCAACAGCCAAATAGGACAGGGATATACTAGGTACGCACGTAGGACAGACGAATTGGACTTTCCTGTCGTTGAATTTTTCATATAGGGCTATCGTGACCATGGATTCGATAGGCGAGAGATAGATGACCAGGCCACTCTCGCCGAAGCCGTAAGTACTGCCAACGCCGTCACGGTCGATGCAGACCTGGAGTTTGCATTCAGCTTGAAGGCAGTGGTCTGACTCTTTTGAAGGTATTGCTTGCAGCAAATGCACCTAGCAACTACGGTGAGACTCAAACACAAATGTCATTCTTCAGAGTCAACCAGTACTTCTAGTACCATCTAGAAAATATGCACAATATACCCGATATCTACTTCCTCCTTGCAATTTTGAGGAGTCGACTGTGAACCCAATGCGGTCGATGAACTGATCTGTTTCATCGTTGTAGCCTACGACAGCATCACTCTGATACTTCGCATTCACACCAGCTGAAGGAAGGTTAGAAGTCTAGCGGGAGATGGGCTGCACTCCTGTTCATTGGCTGCTAACAAGAGTTAAGATTCTTGGATGAATTTCAAGAAAGGACTCGTCAGAAGTAGCTTGCATTATATATTTTCAAAGTATTTACTTCTTCCATGTACTATACTTAGAACTTGGTTACTACGACGAGTAGTCTACAGTTTGAACAGCCTTAACATTCACCCCGCCGTCAAAGGTATCCGCTAAACAGGACCGGTCCTCGTACACGGTGCCGCGATCTAAAGCGAGGTACATCATGATCTCCCCATGCACGCAAATCCGATGTGGACAACTGAGGAAAATTTTTGACGGACGTTTAAGGTTTTATTGACTGAGGCTGTTTTTTTTGTACGCGTTTTTATCAATGGGAACAAACTAAAATCAGTCTGTCTTTCTAAACCATCACAACTACAAGTCCAGAAGTATATAGGTACTTGAAAGCAATGTAGCTGTCAACAGCTGGCTTCAGAGCTCCCCCATACGGCTTGAAGAACCCACCGTATTCCGCACCTATACCCCGAAAGATTTTGATTCCGGTCTCTTGGAACTGCGTCACCGTTCCGGAACCATCAGCGTCTAAGCAGAGGTTGTACATTTTGAAGAACGACAGCAGATTGATCGCATCCACCTGGTACTTGAAAACTTCTTCTTCGGTGTCGTATCTGACTTGTCCGCAGAGCTTAGAGATATTGCTCGACAGTAGAGCAGATTTGTGCGCACTTTCAACATCAGTTACATCATTTTCATTTAGTCTATTGCGATACTGGGTACTATGAACTAGTTTCAACAGAAGTTACATCATTTTCATTTAGTCTATTGCGATACTAGGTACTTACTGTGAACTAGGAAACTATTTCTCATGCGCGAATCATGATACCACTAGAGCAAGCGTTCTAAAGTGCTCATCACGTGGTGTCAGTACTGTGGGTGTCAGTACTGTGGGTGTCAGTACTGTGGGTGTCAGCTCTGTAGAATGCTCATCAGCACTGTAGAATGTCTACAATTCTTCTTTTGGAACCACCAATGCCAGCATAATATTACTCTGATCCAAACCCGCAGATGCAAAACCGTCAATGGCAGGGTCGCAGAAGGCTCCGATGTAGGCCGCGCCACGAATGGACGTTGAGTATCCGGGAAGCATGTCTATGCGGATCAGTTTGTCATCGGGGTCTACGACGTACTTCTGCCTTACCGTCTTGATCGGAGAGATAATCACCCGACGATGCGAGACGAGAAGAGTTAGAGGAGCACAAATATAGAAGCACACAAATATAGAAGGATTTCGAGCACTACAGAAGGATTTAGAGCACACAAATATAGAAGGACTTAGAGCACTACAGATGGATTTGGTTGGCTACTTCGACTAATTTTTATGGGAGGAGTCAGATTTTTTCGATGACTAGGACTACCTGTTCTCTGAAGTAGCTGCAAAGATGACTAGTCTATCTGTAATAGCTGAACCTTTTCCCAACAACGTTCTAATACAAGTACAAGAAGCCCGTTATCATAAAAATCGATTATGCGGCAGTGTCCCATCCATGTCAACGCAAATTCTGTACATTCCACCTACCGTTAGTGTACTCGCATCTACTGGCAGAGTTACCCGTTTCCCGGTCATGGTCATGAACTTCGAGTTACTCACTGTCCCGAACGGATCCGCCTCCTTCACCCCGTCAAAATCCTGTGTATCACACCCAGCGAACTGCCCAAACCTCAAATAAGCAGCCGGTCCATACGGGTTCGACGCGTGACAGCCCAAGCTTAGCGCTCGCCCTAATCCACCATCTCGAGATCCAGATCCTGGGCCGCTTTTCCCCGTGAAGAGCGGCCTCTGCTCCAGGATGCTTCTCAAGGTGAGTGAGTGAATGAATGTGCCTAGCGCGAGGTACTAGTGCAGTTGAATTTATGTTAGATTAGACGGCAAGCCTTAACAAGCACTCAAATTGCATCCGCTCGTTCGCACTGGTTCCAACGATAAACATGCCTTCCGATTGATCCGTTCTAGTGGGTAATAAACCCCCAAGCGACACTTGGATCCTGGGAAAGCCGTCCACTTCGTTAAAGCTCAGCCTTCAATGGTCATCATGACTCTGAACGGAAGGGACCCCCTTCAAAGCTCTCCTCTTTCCCTTCGTTTTCCCCCCATCTTTCCTCAAGGGGTCGCCAGTGACCCCAATCTCAACCCAATGACCTCCATTGAAAGCTGAGCCTTAACTTCGGGTCCCGTGTTATCGGGGTCGAAGCAGAGGAAGAACGAGTTCCCGAACCCCAAACCCGGAGTCGAGATAAACGTGTGGAACGTTTCGCCATCGCCGTCTGAATACATATTTAGAAAGATGACAGCACCCAAGAGGACTGATTCTTTCGCACTCAAGTTGGCGGAGGCGGGAACGAAAGAATCTAGATACATACTTATTTAGAGGTTAACATAGTTGGCGGGTTCCTCTTGTATTTTAAATGACAATGAAAAGTAGTATATCATGGAGGTTAACACTTAGTGTACTTATTACAGCATCCAATGTGGTGGAACTGTTCGAATCTAGAAACTATAAGGTTAACATTAACAAACCACAGCAATTATCAAGTTGTAGAAATGGGGTACTAAGATTAACATTCACAATTCTTCAGATCATCCCTGACCCTTTCCCTACTGGAAAAAAAGTCAAGGATGGTAGTGAAGGATGCAATGTGGTAACCCTTAACATGTCCAATTTTGAACTCGTTGTCTCGGAATATCCCATCAACAGAGGGTTGGAAACAGATCCGTCGCACCCAGCGGAGTTCAAAAACAACTGCCAATTCGTATTACACGAGTTCGGATGGCACTTGAACGTTACCTTGGAACTCTGCGTGCTCTGGAACATCCATGGCGTTTGTTAGAGGCTTCTGGTTCGTCTCCCATCATTCATCTACCTCGCATATCCATCTCCGTCGCCTGTCTCCTTGAAGATAGATGTCAGAGTGCAACCCGTAAGTTAAGACGAGGTAAGTTAAGTTACATATCTAACCCCTACGAGAGTTAGATAACATACTATAATCATCTACGTTATAATATCGGTGGAGCACACCTAACTAGGAAACAAAAAACCAAAAGAGCCAAGTAATCCAAATATCTAAATAAGAGCTATAGTGGCCACGTTTATATTAGGATCCGTATATTTTAGGCGCCGCGCGTTCGTCCTTCTACGTTATAATAAATCAAAACTGAGCTTTAGGCTTAAACAGGAGTAGTTTTACGGTTTTACGTGTAACTCTGTAAGTAGTAAAACTATATATCTAACTCTGTAGAAGTTTATCTAAGAGTGAGATATCTATAACTCTCTACAGTATGCTTACTCTTAAGACGAGAGTAGATAAGTTATGAGTATATAAATGTTAGATAGATCTCAAGTTTCAACCCGTAAGTTAAGACGAGGTACGGACCACCGACGTATACGTCTAAACCACTATCTGCCCAATTGTAGGTGGTTCCCAAGCCATCGTAGTCAACGCAAATGCGATAGTTGATGCCTGCGTAGAGCAGTGTGGTGTTCAGATCGACACCGAAGATTAGAGGTTATCTCGTAGAAGAGGTAGGTATCAAGAGAAAAAAACTACTTATACTAGGCTAAGCTATAATAGCGGAGACATCTCTAGTGCTTCTCGCTCTGTCCCTAGTAAGGTAGGCTAGGCTATAATAGCGGAGACATCTCTCCTTGAAACTCAAAAGCAAACTTGAACACTTTTTTTCAAGATCAAAGAAGCAAGGAAACGCTTTTTATGAATCTACGTTCAATCGATGAAATCTAATCTGGGCGAGAAGATGTCACAAACTACCATCCTTTCAAAACTTTCACATTAAAACTACCATCATTTTCAACAGATGAAAAAAAGCCTTAAAAGCAACGCATTCGTCCGCGTCCGGGTGTTGAACACTGTCGACCGATTCTGGAAGTCCTGTCCACTGTCGTGCGAGGGCATTATGAGATACGCCGCAGCAGGTGGAGACGAGACTTTCCCGTTTGAAATCGTCACCCCGTTATCCGCATCATACCCAAGGACGTAGTTGTGCGCCGTATTACTTAGAGCTCCTGCTACCGCGTGAGGGACGTCGTCCCTCTCACAGCATCCACCTTGGCAACTCTTAAATTGTTTCATAAGTAAAAAAGGGGATACAATTGGGATATAGCTTAGCAGGGGTTTCAATTTGCTGAGGATGCTTTACTTTCACCAGTTGCGTCGTCCCTCACAGCATCCAGCACCTTGGCTTCTCTTGTTGTTTCAAGTAAAAAAGGGGATATTGGGATATAGCAGGGATATTGCTGAGGATGCTTTACTTTCACCCGTTGCCTTAAATTACACGTTCGCCCGTGCAAGGGGGTGAGGTAGATGTAAACCGTGATCAAACTGGTGCCACTCGGGAAGGTGAAATTTGCGTCATTTACGTCCTCGTAGACGATGTTGTCGTTGCAAGCGGTGTGGTTGCATTTGAAAATCATCGGCTCCGCGTTCTGTCGGTCTATAGCGCTTTTCTGCACGTCCACTAAGGCTGCGTCGACTCCCAGACCACCACCTTCTTTAGCCGTCAAGAATACAAGGGGAAGAAGAAGTTGTGTAACGAAAACGAAAAGCAGATGAACTTGTATGATCATAATGACCATTCTGGGGATCTTCATCAACAGGGACGACGACGTCTTCGACCGGGACGACGTCTTCGACCGAGTTGTACTTCTCCCCTTTAACAGCATCTTGCTTGTTGACATTGTTGTAGATCTTCTTCGTCTCTTTCGATACCAAGGCACCTTTGATGAATCCGCCTCAAAGGCGAACGGTGATATCCAGTGGCCGGGCATTCGGTCGTGGCTGTGTCACGTATTATGATCATGCCACATCGGTTTTTCCGAGGAGCGCCAGCGACGACAACGTGTCTACTCTCGCGACTTTAGCAGCAACATCATCGCATTAGCATGCGACTAGATACTCGCTGCGACAACCTGAGGACGGATCCGTGTGACAACGCCACTCGACACCAATGGTGCTTCAAACATATCAAAGATCTGAGAAACTCTGACTGAGGATTCTACTTGTTTCCTTTTCATCTAGGCTGCCAACCACTTCTTTTCAGGTAACCAAATCGAACGAAGTGCCCACCGGGGGCCAGAGCTACATCACCCTATCCACCTGTACAACTTACTACCTTCTCTAGTTAGTGAGTCATAATCATTTCTTATCGACAAGTCTTGGAGTTGTTTACCCTTACTCTCGTGCACCTACTACACTCTCTTCGCTTCTCTACGCTCAGTTACTACCGCAGCAGAAGAACCTCATCCAACACTCAACATGCACAACTCACGTAGCACTCAACACTACCACTGGCTCAGGTTGCTTTCGAAGCCAGCCCTCACGTTGGACCTAAACACTCAAGCACCTCTCAAAACCAGCACTCAAGTACCACTCTTGCAAGCTTGTAACGAGCTATTCTCGCCACTCCTTAGTCGTGGTAGGGATAGAAGTTGTGAAACACGCGCGCAAAAAAAGCCTGCAGCTACTTTTCGTCCCTCCTTAGAGCAAGGATGTTATTTTTCACTGGGTCTGTTTCTCTTATGACAGACTGACGTGAATCGATTCGGCAGTCTGCCTAAGATTTCAACTTCATCCCTAACTGATAAACATTATTCTGTTTGTTCTCAATTCCTGCTCGCTGACGTTCATGATCTTCACAGCTGTGAGACATGATAGCATTACACAACTAATACTGTGCTCACAACTGAAGAATTTGTTTTGATGCGCTCCGGGCGACGCGTACGACCCCGCCGTATTTCTTTGCGCTCTGTGTGTGTTATACTATGGTCGTCACTGCGATCGCCTGCTGTTTCTATTCACAAGACAAAACTCAAGCGCAAGCGTAAGCAGCAAGGGCATGAACATGCATTCTGTTATTCTTATGCGTCGCCTGTGTATTCTTTCACACCATTAGATTTCTTATCTTCGTCCTTTCATCATCTTCACCTTCTTATTCTTTCGAGATTGAACGGACCACAAATTCGCAACAACTGCCAAGCCCCTTTCTTCGCCGCAGAGTGGCTCAATCGATTAGATAAACTAAACCTAAACCTAATGAGGCGCGCAAGTGAGCGCCTTCAGCTCATATTTGAAGAGGGGGATAAGACTATGACGGCTACTTGTCTACGAGTGCTACTTGTCTACGAGGAGCAGAGGCAGCATTAGCCCTGTTCTCTAATTTCCATAATGTGTGAAGTGCGTAGTAGCTGGAGTGGCCGTAAGTCACTGCATGTTGCAAATATTAGAGCCAGCATTTCTTCATCTCGGTCCCCTCATCTCCATCTCGACCCCTTTCCCATAAATAAGTACAGAGGAAAAGAGTAGCAAGATGAAGATGCTTCCGGAGATGGATTAGGAGAAGCCGTATAAGTAGGATTTTGCTCTTTCGCACGATCCAACTCTTTCCTCGTCTGCATCTCCTCCTCATGTTCTTTTTCGGAAATACAGCACTTCTCTGCGAGAATGCGAGTGTCATCGGCCGTGGCCGTTTCCATTGCCTCATCCAGCCACTCTTTTTCTACCTGGAATGGATCGTGTTTTCTTGTAGTTGCCCCGCCTTGCAAGCTGCTTGTTGTTCTCGTCGAGGTAAATGTACTCATTTAACAAGAGGACTTTATACCTCCTATAGAAAAACCCTCAACATCTCGTGGTCTTTGTTATCTAATCACGAACGAGAATTATTAGGTGAAGATCTTCTTTACCGTAAATGTTCCGAAGCTTAATACAGTGAGACAACTCAATATCACACTTTCTTCTTCACTTCAGATTTAGCTCGTTTCGAAAAAAATTACTTCCTTTGCAGAACTTGGCACTTGATCCCCATTGCAAACGTCTTGTCTTTGCAGTATTTTTTCCTTCCAGATCGAAATCGCGGACTCGCAAGATTCAGCTGGAGCGGATATCGCAAACCTGCACCAGTCATGATAATTTAAATTGAACTCTCGAAGATCTCTCATGCCCCGCAGAGCACTCCTCTTCATTGATCTTGCCGCGCTCTGCCAGTATAAGTTCGAACTTTATTGGCCACCTTCGTTTCAGCAGATCATCAACAAAGTTCAAAACTAGCCGCTTCATGATCTTGCTTCGCCTAATAGGTTAACTCCGAACCTAACAGGACTAGAGCCACGCTTGAAACTTCTTCTATATTCAGTTGCCTGATCTTTTCTAAGGTTCTAGCCCGATGCTGTAGAGAGGGGAGGGGGGTCCCCAGGTAGTTCCGGGCCCGTCTTTCGGTCATAGGCCTAGGTAGTCAAGAAGTTACTTCTATTCTACCGTTAGGATAAAGAATGACCAAACGCCTACCCCGGAGGCGACTGCCGCCATCTAGGAAGTCAGGCGCCAACTTCTCCTCTGTAGCGCCCACGAAGAAGCTCGCGAACTCCTCGGGCCTCTTTCGTCTTGTTAATGGGTCGCCGCAGTTTCTCGCGCTACAGATCCAAGACTACGACAACCTTGCAGCCCCTCGCGAATAGGGTCTGCGGCTTGCTGAGTGCGGTCGCCAGCAAGTGCGAACACGTCGCCAAGGTTGTCGACGTGACCGACCGCTTACGGAGTCGCCTCGCATGATATTTGCCTAAATGTGGAGAGCGACGCCGACAGCCAGCGCTTCGAGAATTCCAACGCGAACGCAAGAACCTTCGAGAGGCTTCGGCAGATGGTAGATCTGGAAACGGTAGAAAAAGGCCCCCGGTGTGCGCCGGTCGACATTTGGTGGGTTTCCAAATGCTCGAACTGTCCGCGTTCCAGTTTTTCGCCCAAGCCAAGCACGCCTCCTGAAGCCGCGCCGGGATACATGTGGCACATTTCTTTGGCTACTCGACGGCGGTCCGATATGAATGGCCTTAGCCGAGCGAGTGCCCAAAGCGTAAGCTTTACGGTGGACAGCGCTCGACTATGCTCCGATGTGATCCGCTTGGCGGACTCAAATCCGGCCACGAAGTAGGCGAGCCCTTTTGCCAGGGAGAGTCTGCATCTATCTAGCCCTGCGCAGTCTCAGAACAAGCCGCGAAACGTCGCCAGCAGATCGAAGGCGGCGCGCTTATCTTCAAAGTGCCGCACCAGTCTGAAGCCGTCGCCAATACACTTTTTAGCCTTGTCGCCATGAGCTGTGGCCTGCGTGCTACAGTGTTTCTGCCCCAATGGTAGGAACATGCACGCAAGGCCCAGCAATGTCACCCGGTGGCGACTCTTGAAGCCTATGGCCGCGGCCGTCCTTGCCTAGCGATCGCCACCAACCGGCAAGGCCCAACTGAATCCGCCCGATCTGCTTGACAGTGCAGCCTGGCCCCATCTGCGGACGGAGGTCGCCTATGTAAACGGCGCAGATAATTCCCAATCGCACCACTGTGATAAGCTGACGAACTTCGCTAGTGAGTCTGGGCCAACACATTCGCGCACCGGGCTCAAAGCTCCAAACAAGCAAACTGAAGAAACAGCTAGTTGCCATCTGCGGAGCTTCCCGTCTTTGCCTGGCGTTGAGGCAACGCGGGCGGAGCCCTGTGCGAGGTGGGCGCCCGGGATGTCGGGCGGCACCGGATAAAGCTTACAGCTTGAAAAAGGGCCACGGGTACCGCGCTGGAAGTAGTGCCCTCCCGTATCGATCTGCCCCATCCTCGGCGTGGGTCCATATCGCGGGCTAGGTTGGTCAGCTGGGTGCCTGTGTGTTTTTTTGCTAGAGGATTGATGACCATCAAGAAGCTGCGCCCTGTGCTCCTCAAGGGCCGCGCGAGTGTCTTTCTCACTTTCTGCGTCTTTTTTAGCATGCGAGCGGGTGCCCCTTCCAGTTTGTGCACATAGTCAGACACGCAAGCGGTTGCAAGTTCTGCGGCAGCTTTTGCACTCCGCAGCCGGGTCTTTTCTTTCACCACTTGCGTCGGATTTTGGCCCCTTAGGTCGACGCAGCAGCAAACTTTATGGGGATTTTCTCCAGTTGGTTGATGCACAGGGAAAGGCCTAGCCCCTCCGAGTCTGGTAAGAGATTCCCGGCTCATTGGTAGCCAAAGGCCTGGCCGCTGCGTTTTTGCTCTTTTGCTCCCAAAGGACCCGGGTGCAGTTTCCGGGTGCCCAGCGGGGTCCGTCAGGTGGGGGCCTATGTGTCCCTAAGAGTGACTTCTCGCGCCGGTGGTCTTTGTGCTTCCGCCTTGTCGTCCGGAAGCAATGAATAATCGCCAGAAAGCGAAAGGCTGGCCCTCTTCTTCCATTGTGATCCCAGAAACTGGCCCACCCTTCCACTGTAGAACGGCGCCGGCGTTGTGGGAGAAAAAATTTCGAAGAAGAGCCCCTAAGCTGAGCAGCTACAGCACGTGACAGGAATACCTCTTGCCCTAAGTTCGTTGTCTAGATTATCGACCGGAAGCTATTCGCGTGATAGATCTGTAAGAATTCAATTCCAAACCATCCCAAACCTACGCCAGCCATGCTCATTCGCACTGGGCTCTCCAATATCTCTCACGCTCCGCCGAGCGCTCCTCTTCGTTGGATCTCGTCGCGCTCTGCCAGTATAAGTTCGAACGCTGTTGACCACCTTCGCTGCAGTGGATCGCCAAAGTTCGAGACCTCAGCAACAAAGTTCAGAACTAGCCGCTTCATGGTCTTGCCTGGGTTAACTCCGAACTTAATAGGACTAGAACCACGCTTATGACTTTTTCTATACTTCGTCGCATGATCATTTTCTAAGGCTCTAGCCTTTCACTTGCCTCAAGTTCTGAGACTGGTGACCTTCCACAGCGACGCTGCCCGGATTTACTCCATGGCAACTGGAACAGTCGAAGATATGCGAGGCAAAGGAGCGAACTACTTCGATGATACGGGGGTGGCGCGGCTGTTAGCCCGTTCGTACCTAGAGCACTCAAGCTGAGCAGCTACGCCACGTGACTAGAATACTCCTTGCCCTAAGTTTGTGGTCTAGATTATTGATTAGAAGATCTTCGCGCGATAGATCTGGCAGAATTCAACTCCAAAAATCAACGCTGGCCATAGCGTCAAATCATCTGCGTTTGTAGTTCGTCTGAATCTGTTCATTCTGTCCTGTCTAATTGTTGTACTACTTACAACTTCGAGAACATCTTTCTAGCTACGATTGTCATGCATCAAATTCCAAGCTGAAAGGATATTGGGGTCAAGCCCGATATAAAAGGTTTGGCTTCGAAGTACACGCTCTTTTTTTCTCTGTCCCTGTCGGTAGTGGGAGAAGAAGGGCGGCTCGTGGGTGCACCAGCACTAGCGTTCTGATCACTTGAGGAGGCTCTTGCACTCACGGGCACAGCGCCGGCCTTTTCTTCTAATGGACTGCTCTTCTTGGGGCTCGTGGATGCACCGGCACTAGCGTTCTGTTCACTTGAAGAGGCTGCTCCACTCACGGGTACGACGTCGGCCTTTTGTTCTGTTGATGAACTGCTCGTCTTGGGTGCATCGGCAGCAGCTGTCTTCTTCTGATTGGTTGAAGGAGTGCTGCGTGTCGTGGGTGGTTGTTCGGCAGGCTTCTGAGCAGAGCCGCCACAGCTTGGGCAAGAAACCTGATTTTCGAAAAAACTGGCGGAACCTCTGAGGTTGTAGCGAGCATCTGCGAAACCAGCGGCCACTGTAGTCGCACATAATTTTTTCATCTTCGGCTCTAGCACTGGCTTGCTGATCGTTGTAAAAATAAGGTGCTCCCTCGATAGTCTGAATACGGAGGAGTTCTATTCTAGTATATCATTGAATTTCCATGCCATAGGTATATCATCAAAGACCAGGAGAGGTGGCACTTTTCCTTTTAGAAAGCAGTCAGGAAGCTTTGATACCGGGATACTAGGTGGACACCGAGATACTACGTGGACACCGAGATACTACGTGGACACCGAGATACTACGTGGACACCGAGATACTACGTGGACACCGAGATACTACGTGGACACCGAGATACTACGTGGACACCGAGATACTACGTGGACACCGAGATACTACGTGGACACCGAGATACTACGTGGACGCCGAGGACATATCATGCATTTCTGCTGTTTTTGCTACGTCTTTGGTACAAATCCCGATCACCGAAAGGAAAACTTCAGAAAAAAGCAGGACCGACAGCTGCACTAATATCATGGCCGAGAAGGAGCTTCAACGACATCAAGATCTTCGTAGATATTCAACTACGAGGTGCAATATTATAGCGGCCTTTGACTAAAAACATGACATTGCACGAAATTGCAAATTTTTCGAGTTTGTTCGACGCACCAGCTTGAGTGGGAGCAGAGAAAGCATGGATTGGAAGTACTTGTGAATGCGTCTCACTCCAACTCGACGACCACTTTTTAGAGGAGTTTACGGCGCTGGATAGGATAGCCATATTGCCAACACGAGTCCTCCCTAGGAACGACGGAACGAAAATCAAAGAAAAACTACTCGTGTAGAGTAGTGGGTACAATTGAACCGATTCAAAGGTACGACCCGGCGAGTTCTGCAGCCTGTTTCCTCGTCTACAGTGCTAGAATGCGTAACTATTCCTGCGAGGAATGCGTGAGTGTTCTTGCAACTGTCCATAGCCGTCCTACCGTGGCGCCCCTCTTTGTCAATACCCAGATCCCGAATGCAAAAGTGAGAAAGAAGTAGCAAGCTAAGAACTACCAAGACCAAGATCACAATCACCATGAGCATCATGACCAACAACAACAACAGCAGACCAATCACCAACCAGGGACTAGATCGTAGACCACTAACAGAACCAGGATCATAATGATCAGCCCCATGGCCGGCATCGTACTGCACTAAACTAACGAAAGCAAAGGCCAGCAAGGTCATAGACAAGACAGAAGGGGCAACACCATCAGAAACAAAAACCAACTACATCAGTCACCATGTCAGTGGCCGGCCACTTGAGCCATTGCGAACAGCAAGAACCTACTTAGTCACGCTATTGCCGTGATATAGAGAACGACTGCGCGCAAGGGAGCCTACCACAGACTCCACGCACGACACTAGCTGAGCCTAGTATAGCTGAGTTGATATTAAGGCACAAATCATTTTTCCAAGCAGAGGAGTTATACAAGAACAACTTCTAGACCTATCATTTGCGAACAACTCATCATCATTATATGTTGTCTCACAGCAACGTACCAGGAACTCGTAGTGCGCCTGCTCTAGCGCAGCTAGATATCTGTATTCAAATCTGATCAGTGTACTGCAAATGTCGTAAAACTCAAACCCTGGCGCATTCTAGATGGAGTGACTAAGTAATTTTTCTCTGTGACATAACTGTCTTTTAGGAACTTTCATGAACTTTCGAAAAAAAGGTTAGAAAAGGTTTCTGTTTGTACCTACGTAATCGCGACCTACTGCTTCTGAAAAAGCATCTTCTACTTTCGTGTAAAAGGACTTGGGTAAAACTACTGCAGCCAGCGGTCGTAAAAGTAAGTCTATCATGTCTATAAATATCAAACGCGAAAAAAAGGGCGAACAAATACTCGCACAAAGACGGTCGTGCCAACTCTGTGAAATTCTTCTAGAGCTCAATTCTGGAAGATCTACAGGTCTAATATGTTCCCAAGGTGGACACCACGAAAATGTCCGCGTTTTCTTTCTCCCCTATCCACCGTCAGGAAACGAAAGTCGTGTGAGTCGTGTAAACCCACTCAGGGTCCTCGCTATTCGCCGCTTCTGTTGTGCCTTTCCTCAAGGTTCTGCACCCAAATAGGTGGTTGAAGTCAAAAGTTAGAAGAAAAGAATCTTAAAAAAAAATAATGCTAGTACTTAACTTCGAATCTTAAAAAAAAGTAACGCAGGTCCCCTACTTCCCTCTAATAGCTGTACTTCCCTCTAAGCCTTAAGGGATAGTATCGGCTTTGGCATCGTATACACAGGCTTGAAGCGATCCCGACTGCCTCGCCTTTTTCCCGTGACACTCGTTCTCCAAGTTCATACCTACAAAAGATAGAATTGTGCTCATTTCTCAATTTTTTTCGGAGTCTACCCTCTCAGGCTGAAGGGGTATCTTCACGAAAAAGTCTCAGTCTGAGCAGAGTCGTAAAACAAATATACTTCAATAAAAAGTCACAGTCTGAGAGTCGTAAAAAAAGCATACTGCGGAAGAACTAGTATACCTTTCTAAACCAAGAATTGCCATCGTAAAATGATGATGAGTACCTCTCTATGTAAGTGTTTCCGTTATGATCAGTATTGCCATCGTAAAATGATGATGAGTACCTCTCTATGTAAGTGTTTCCGTTATGGTCGAGGATATTGAAGGTCCCAACCCGCCGATTTTCTGCCCACTCTCCGTAAAGCACACTACCTCTCGTGCTAAGAAAGACTCCTTTCCCATTCGCTCGGCCGCCCTGTGATGATGGTGATTGCTGTCTCAGGTCTGCCAGAGTTTGGAGTGGTCGTAAGAACTAGGCAACAAGTATCATAATGCGTCGGGTCCATATCCTCACGTAAACCATAGAAGCCTTGAACACCAAGAAGAACCTTTGATAGAAGTACCTTAAACGTGCCCACATGTTGCGACCCGTCTGCTAGAACGAGAACGCCATGGCCGTCTGGTTTTCCGTAAGCAAGATCTCCGATATACTGCCTATTGCGTTCATTAGACGATCATCAATACAGCGTAGTCTGGAATTGATTCAGTCCAAATACGTAAGATTAAGAGTTATCTCCTGACCGTCTACTACTCAAATCCGAAACCCGACATTCATCGCTTTCAACTAGTTTGTCTAAAGAACAATCCACCCATAACGCCGAGATTCATCACTTTCGACGCACTTTTGTCTCCATAGGCACGCTTGAATTCCTGGACAGCAGCACCCAGCCACGCTGTTGACGGCTCCGAAGGGCCTAGGTCCGCTACATAACTCCGTTTGGCCACCTGCATTTGTATCTTTTCTGTCTCATAAACTATCGAAGTTCTTGTCAAAAATAAAAACTCGTCTGACTCAATCAAAATTGTTAAGTACTTGACTCCCATTTCCTCTTGTTCATCAAACTTCTAAGAGGACTTCTGAGGTAGACTAGTACCGCTCTAGCCTCTTGTCTTCCCTGCGCAAAATTCCACTGATTCCCAGGCTGAACCGCCGCTTTCACTACCTCCTCCGCCCAGTTGTGGCCAGCGTTTTTTAGTATAGAGTCTATATTCTTCTGTGGGCCTGACGAACCTGTGAGAGTGTTTGTGTTTGAAGAGAAAGTAAGAGCTATAATCACCAGGTTATATTTATCAGAAGTTATAAATATAATAGTACGAGAGAAAGTGTACTCTGACGTAAGAAGTGACAAGTGAAAAACGTAAACGTAAAAAGTGAAATACAAAAAACTCTATCACGAAAGTAGAGTACCTCCTCCTTTCACACGCGTATGCACAGCTGGATAAACGCCTGCTGTAGGTGACCTCCCATACTCCTCGAATAATGACTGCGCCCTGATGTAATATACAAGGTAAACGAGCAGCTTCGAAGATATTTACTTGCTTCGACTTTTTACAAGACGACCTTCTAAAAGTAATATGGGAATATCGAAGCTACATTATATAGAAGATAAGGAAGATGTGTAAGGAAATACCAATGCCAAACCAAATGACCAAAAAATATAATATCAGTACTTCAATATCGCCTCCGCATCATTCACGGAACTCGATGGCGAATCCGGAAATCTTGGGCCATGGATTAGAGGAGACCAAATTCAAAAAAAGGCCTTCAACACTAAAATATGAAATCGAGCCATAACTTGAGATTTGAGAGCTGTGGCGCCGGATCGATAGAACTTGCCGTCGTTCCTTGCGTCCCGAGGATATGAAAGAGAGTGGCGTGTTGATTGATTGATTGATTGATTGATTGATGTGCCACCTTCTTCGAAGGTGGTGGGCGCTGGGAGGCCCGCCTCTCAAAAAGTTAGATCGGGGGGGCCTTCAGCGCCGAGCCCTGGAACATAGATCCGCCTTGTTGCTGGCCAACCCTATGCATAGATCAGAATTACCTTCCCGCATAAAATAGACACCGTATTTGCCGCCTCATTCTTCGAAGGTCTACAACGTCTCTTTCCGCGTCGTCTATTTCGTACCATGCTGCGTCCTCCGGTGCGTAGTCGACTACGTTTGGCATTAGAATAAAGTAGCAGCCAGTGCTGTCTATGACGGGGTTCATCAAAGTCTCCATTCTATTGTTCTCTATAAATGGAGACATTCTCCGATGTCTATAAATTTTCCATTTTACAAGATCTCTATAAACTTAGATTCTATTGTTCTCTATAAACTTTCTAAGCATAACTTTCCATTTTTTGCAAGATCCATCTTTCGTCTTATCCCTCGCACATGGTCTAGTTCTCGCTCAAACTCACTACTTGCAACGCTTGGGGGCCTCTGTTCTTCACCGGCCATTCCGATATAGCCCTGCTGCCCTATGCTAGCAGGGTCTGCATCGAGATTAGATATGAAGACATGAGGGGGCACTGTATGATGTAGTAAGTGTCTTCGAGGATATTTGTCTTACAAGCGAGGATATTCGTTTTCCCTGAGTCCTGTGACAACAGACTCAGATACTAACTTGGACTATTTTAAAAGATAAATGCAGTCCTCCTCAAATGAACTTTTGAACATCTCCCTTGCGACAGTCAAAATATCCAGACAACTCCTCCATAACTAGAGACGTTAGACTCCCAGGCTCGGCTAAACTGCGCAAAAGTGGCGACTGTGATCCCATTCTTTCCAGCCCCTCGACCAGTTGCCTCAGATCCTCGTTGCCGTGGATTAGAATTCCTAGTATTCTCACATTGAGAAATGACTCATGTGGCTGTCGTCTGTAGTTTCATTCTTTCTTATACCAAAAAGCTAATTTTTCGCAAGAAGCCAAGTAGCCAGTTGTACTAGTACGGTGCATTTACTGCATCTACTTGAAGACTACGAGATGCATTTCCATGCACGCAAAAATGAAGAAACTTTCCGTCTTAAATAGTCCTCAGGTCTGATGACGTTTGTTGCAGTGACGCCAGCCGTCTCCCCCAGTCCCACTGGTTGCTCGGCCATAGGTTGTGACCTCGATCCACCTGACAGAAGCTGTAAATCGATACAATGTTGCCGTAGTTGCTGCTGCTTCGTCAAAAGCTCTTGTCGCTGGCTGTGGTAGGCGGTGCAATTGAGTGAACTTTGAGGACTAGAGTGGCTAGGCTTAGGTAAATTAGGTAAGATGGTTTGTTGTTCACTCGCATTCTATTACAACAAAACATTCCATGACATGATAGATCCTTTTCCTCCGTACTATATCAAAAGTACATAAGACGAAACAACTAAGTACTTAGAAGTACAGTACAAATCATCCTACACCAAAGAAACAACCAGAAGTACAGTACAAGTCATCCTCTACTGCACAACGGTACTAAAAAAGTTTACAAGTCATCCTCTACAACTGCACAACGGTACTAAAAAAGTTTATCCTCTACTTTACAAGTCATCCTCCACTAAATGCGTTCCTTCCGTCAGAGCTTGTATTGCGTCTTGCAAAGTCCGGATTATCTTATCCGTCGGTCCAGGCATTGAAACGTTTATCTCCCCTTCTGGAACTTCATCCAACGCTACGACAGTCGGCTCCCCAGCTTCTTGTGGTGTTAGCAAAAACAGGCAAATAATCTCTCCTAGCGATCATCTTCTTAGCATCGTACTTAGGTTAGGTGAGGTCGTTGGGGATCCTTCACATGGAGCCCCCCGGGCTCTTAGCTCAGTTTTGATCGATGTGCCAAGTTTACTTTTCTTGAGATCAAAGTACTACAAACGAGTCTCCATATTTCTTGATCTCCCGCAGCCTCTGGAGCTGCCTCATCTTCGACTCCTATTCTTGGCTGTTCCTCATTCTCTTGCTTAGGTTCCGCAGATTCTGGTTGTACATCACAACAAGGCTGCTCTTCACCAGCATCCACGACTCCTTCTCCCGCTTCAGCCGCTGCTTCTCCCTCTGCAGCAGGTGCATCATCGGCTTCGGCCACTGGTGCGTTCTTTTGGTTAGAAGATCACTAGAAGATTAGCCAAGATAGAGATTTAATGTGATGGAGGAGAAATTGCTCTTGTTCATGTTCTCTAGATGTGGGATGCCTACGTAGATCACTGCGCTGAAACCTAATCAAAAATTCTCTCAAAACTGGAGATCGAAGACAATCACGTTGAATCAGAGTCTAGACCATCTTCTACAATAACACCCCCTTCTCCTTGTTATCTACATGTATTCTAGATAGAGACTAACCCAAGGATGTTGTTGTTGTCTGCATGTAGAATGCTTTGTACGTAGATCCATATGCAGCTGAAACCTAGCACTTTAAAATCTTTTCTCAAAAAAGAAGATCTTCGAAAACTATCACATTGAATAAAAATGAATAAGAGTCTACCATCTTCTAAGTAAGTACCATAACACCCCCTTCTCCTTCCTCATTCTCGCCTCCTTCGGGAGCCGCTTCTTCCTCCTTCTTGTCTGCTGTCTCCGTATCTCTTGGCGGCGCGTCACCTCCTTCTCCTACCTCGTCTCCCGCGCCTTCTGCTGGCGCTGCAGCTGCCTCTGCTTCCTCCTCCTTTCCACCATCTTCCTTTTCCTTCTTCTTCTTCTTTTTCTTCTTTTCCCCGTGATATGAAGAAGGGCACTAACGATGATCCTGACCAGACGGGAGCATATTTGTATATTTAAGGACAAGAAGTGTTGACAAAATTACCGCTGTCAACAGACACTTATGATTCTGAGAGAACACGTACTTACTCATCTCTCAATCTCGAGAATTCTTGCTTTTAATTGTATCCGCCATAAAGGACTAGCGTCTTCTGCTACATCTGCGGTTTTGTCCTTTGACGATTTCTTCTTTTTCTTCTCCCCTTCTGCCTGTTCTTTGTGCTTAGAGGTTACTAGTCGCACAAGCAGTTCATGCTAGCAGTACTAGAAGTAGCGTTGGTCGGCATTTCCAATAGCCAACCCAACAGCAACGTCAATCAACAGGAGTCAGCGTAGAGGAGCATGAAAGGACAAAGACCTAGAATAAACTCCTGTACAGCTACAGTGCATACAAGTACTTATCCTAACGTCCTAAGAAGACAAACTCTAACTGGAATAACGTGGTCCTAAGGAGCAGAAGACAAATTTCACATAACTTCTCCTTTCTCCTTGGATGATTTCTTCTTCTTTTTCTCCCCCTCCGCACTCCCCGATCGCTTTTTCTTCTCCTTCGTCCCCTCCGCGGTGGCCGCGGCGGCGGCCTCCTCCTCCTCGTCCGGCATCACTTTATGCTATTAATGTGACGGAGAGCAGCGATTAAGTCAACATATTCATTTTTCATCTCCTATATTGATAATTCCATTTTCGTTCTTGCAACTTGTTGTGAGATGTAGTTTATTGTGTTTTTCTCTGTCCTAGTAGAAGTATTGTCCTCTTCTAGGAGTAGTAGTAGTTTACCCACAGAGATCTGTGGTCTTCTAGATGATCTCAAAAAAAAAAGTTTGATAGCAAGAACTATTCGTCTTTGACGTTTTCGGAAAAGTTACTAAATGTCTGGGAGAGAACGAGGGGTGCTCCTGCTCACACAGGGGTCGATAACTTCATAAAAAACCCAACCATTTTCAAAGAAGGTTCAAAAAAAAATTTTCTTCTTTTTTCACTCAGTGTGTGACTTCACTCGCATCTGCGCACAGAATATTGCTTGAGGTTCAAGAGAAAACCGATTTGGTTTCACAGAAACCTCAACACGAACCTTACTACTCTCCACCAATGTATTCTATGCCGCATCATGCTGGTCGCCCTCAGGGCAGATTATTAAATCAAAGACCTTCATCATCTAGGCCTACAAACCGTCTCTTGTTGCGTTTTGTGCTTTGCGTGTGCTTCGTCTGAGCTAACGTTTGAGCTTCTAAATGCTTTGTGCTAGAAAGAATTCCTGCGTGTGCGCTACTGATAAGTCCCTGGCGCGTCCTTTGTGCTAAGCAAAATTTGTGTGTGCTTTGTGCTAATGATAGTCCAGTTACGTATGCTTTGTGTTAGATATAAGAAAGTCAGACGTGTGCTTCTTTTTTGTGCTCGACTTGTGTGATGTGCTGTCTCTACCTTATGTCGCTTCGTGGCGGCTACTTGTACAAAGCAAAACGTTGGCTTCCTGCTTTTCATTAAGTTTGCTTTGTGTTCTTACAGGTGGTCCTCCAATCTAATTGCGCAACTCTTCATATCCGCTATAGAGAGAATCTTATCTGCGTTTACAATCATCTTCCTGTTCGAAATCAGATAAGTCACAGTCCGATGGCACGTCTGCAGCCATGATCGCAGCCAGCGATTGTTTCTCCGCAGTATCCGGCATACCCGCCAGAATTTGCGCAGAGATACGAGCAGCGTTCCGGTCAGCGGGGATTAGAGTTTGGCATAGAGGATCGTATTAATGAAGATATGATCGGTGTAGACAGATGAGAAATTGAAACAACAAAGAAGATGATGGCGATTTATGTAGCCTAAATGGAACGACGATCAGATTCATAGGTGTTCAGATAATAGACGAAGATCTATCAATGCAGTAGTGTCAACAATTGAAAATTTTCCATAACAATTGTTGTACCTCCAACAAAGGTGGGCAGTCTGTCTGCAAAAATTTCCGCCACTCCGTACTGTCGAGTTGGAGGCGTTCCGCGTAATCTGCTTTCCCGAAAAAATCATTTGGGTTTGCTGGATAGGCATTTCCACATCCACCACCCCCACCGACGCAGTCTGGCTCCTTGAAATCTAGAGCGAACAGGGAGAAGGGGACGGAATCATCTGATGTTAGAAGTGATTACAACTTCAGATAGAGGAGCCGTGGTCCTCCAGGCAAGATGCGGAAGAAGATGAAAACGAAGCAAGTAGATAAGAGAAATAAAATCTATCAGCTAAGGCACTGCTGTTAACTCCCTCAAAAAGTGAGAACAACGCGACAAAACGTATAATATCCCTCTCTCGACTTTTTAACCTTAAATGCTTATGTCACACACACACATTTGTTCCATCAACATAATATCTCATCCGCGATTAAGTCGTCTTCTTGGTCGTCAGCGGTGAAAAATCCGCCCCCTTGATTGGCATTATCCCAAGCTATCAGGGCTTCCCGGCGTTTCCTTTGCTTGAGCAGTTCAGTCTCCTCTGGGTCGTAGAGCATTTCGAAGGGCTCTGCTTTCGGTGCCCCACCTTTCTCTGATGTCCTTGTGCCTCCACGAGAAAGACGTGGTCCTTCTCTTTCATCTGGTGTATCAACAGGTCGTGGGGAAGCGGCAGAAGCATTCTTTTTCGACGTAGAAGTCTTTGTAGTGTTAGAAGAGGAAGGAGCACCTTGAGTCTTCGAAGATGTTGGAGATCTTTTGTTGCTCGTTGTTTTTTTGCTCTCTTTTGTCGCGGCCACGGATATTTGATTCGACCCCACCTCCGTCTCGACGCAATCTGCCACCTCCATCGCTGTGTTGCATCTCCGCATCAGTCGTACAGGCAGACATGAAAAAAAGAATGTTATCAAGTTGATAAAGGGAGAAGAAATGGCAAATGTAGACTTTCAACGAATACGAAATACTCACCTCCAGAGCACAGGAAAAATGTAACAACGAACAACGCACAACTACACAATATCGAAAACGACGAGGACTCAAGGAATGTCATGTCATGATACCTCGCCTAACTAACGTGGTTCTTGGGGCCTTTCAATCTCCCTGCACCTTCTAATTAGAAGAGCAGAAATGTTGTCTTTGTCCAACAAGGTGGACCACTATGGGGGAAGCTAGGTTGTGGAGAATAAACATATAAATACATAACAGCACACGCCAATAGACCGCTCCCGCTTCTTCGCAAACGGTGTGGATGCCAAAGTCTGGGTGACAGTGCGCACACTGAACTACATGTGGACGAATCTTAGACTTCAATGATTCGCAATCTGCATCCGAAAACGCTATTGTGGATCGTGTAGGAATGGTGGAGTTTTTAGAAGATGTTGCACTAGCAGAAGATGTTTCTTCTTCTTGTGCCTTGTGTAACTCTTTTGCTTGCTTTGCCAGTATCTTTGCCTTGGTGTGTGCGGAAGAAGATGCAGAGGGAGTTGCCTCTTCTACTTTCTGAGCGGGCTTGTTGGGTCTAGTAGGAGTCGTGACATTCCTGCTCTTGTGGGGAGTAGTTATTTTGGCCTCATCAACATTTTTTGCTTGGCGAAGATTGTGAAAGAAATCAAATTTCTCCATCGCGAAGACCTGCGCGACAGCTTCCACGACCTGACATTGCACTGGAGGCAATACATGGCTAAAACCTTCGTCAGGCTCTTGTCCTTTGATGAGTCCGCGTTCCGACCCAGCATCTAACTGCCCATCTGGTCTTTTGCACAGGGTAGTTGTGGTGTCTTCGCTTCCTCGGCTTGACGAAACCAGTTGATTTTTGTCCCCGTCTCCTACATCAATGGCTCCTGTCTTCTGTTGTTGATTTTTTTTGACCTTTCTTGAGCTCTTGCTCTTCTTTAAAGGTTTACTAACTTTTTTTCTGCCTGCTCCTTTCTTCTTCGACTCCATTACAACACCCTTCTTCGTTGGTATTCGTTTACATGGAGTCGACATTTTTTTCGATTTTCCAGGAGGACCCTTCGAAGGTGTGGACGCATCAACCACAGTAAGTACATGGTGACAATCTTCCAGCGCCATCTTATCCTTACGCCCTCCCTCTTCTTCACTAGCATCTATTAGAGGTAGGTTTTTGGTGCTCGCTTACCCCGCTTGTTATGCCTTTCTCATCCTAAGGGAGAGAGGCATAAAAAGCGGTAAGAAAAGCACCTTTAACCTACGCTTAAATCTATTATAGCCGTGGTTCTTGACGAGGATGCAGCTGCTTCTTTCTGAAGTCGCAAAGCATAGGCCTCACGGTTCCGTCGAGCTTGGAGAGCGGGAATTCGATGTGCCTGGCCAAACAGCAGTGGCGCTAAAAGTTTGAAGGCGTCCGCTAAAACTTTTTTCGAACGTGCATGATGTGGAAAATCACACGACAATAGTACCTCCGGTTGGGTACTCCGATGGCCGCACTGATGTGGAAGATCACACGACAATAGTACCTCCGGTTGGGTACTCCGGTGCAGGAGATAGATCATTTCTGGAATCCACCATGGATTAGAATTGAACTACTTATACTAGCGTCTGCTCACATCAACCACTTGAGACTTTTGTGGCGTGTTGGAGGACCAGCAACATTAACATCATAGGTAAATATCAGATTTCTAGACGAGTCTCTTAACCTAAAGCATCCGAGCGCGAGCTCCTCAAAAAAATCAAACGACAACAATACATCCAAGAAAGTATGTTTAGGGAAGGGATTACTCTAGTACGCATCGTACAGGAAGAGCACCCAAGGAACTAAATTAAAGAACAACAACATTCACAAGTCATAATCACCACCGGCATCAAATAGACATGGATGTCGTCTAAGCCGCTTTGCAAAGCCGATCGGCATTTCGAGTGCGCCTGTGCTACTATGCCAGAAAGATAGTTTAGACGTAGGCTTTTGGCGTTCGTCTATCCCGCTTGTTATGGCTGTCCCCCTTAGGAGAGCCATAACAAACGGTAAGAAAAGCACCTTTAGCCTACCCCTAAATAATCGGCATACTCGGAATGAAGCCGTCCTATGACATCCGCCAGCCGCTCAACGTGTCTGAAAACGTAGGCGTTTACTTCAAGTGAAAAGAGGTCGTGAGCTCGAAGTTCAATATCTCTGAGGCTGCTGTCTTGTGAAGGATAAGGAGTTGCAGAATTCTCAATTTTTTGTTCTACTTGCTTATCCGCGGATGAGTCTGTTTGTGCGCAGTTTTCAGAGTCGGCGTTTTTTGCTTCGCACAACTGTACCCTTATGCGATAAAATGGCTCATGTGTGCGCCACTGCGATCGTGTCATTTCCAAAAAAGATGTAGTTGCATCATCCACTCCACCACTCTGAGGAGCCTTCAACGCGTAAACGTCAGCAAAATATTGCTTCAAAGCCTCAAAGTCACCAATTCTTAGAGCCAGATACTAAGCAGGAACGACGGATCTTGGTAAAAAGTACTTAATTCAGAAATTACACAAGAAGCCCATGCGCGTAGTGAAACGGTAAAGAACTGAAAAGATTCAAACTTCATCAGCCCGTCTTAAGTCTTTTGCCGCGAGAGTACTGCGAGAGCGAATATCGACTAATTCCCGTGATCTCGGAATGTCGTTGTCTGGCACTGGTGCGCTCGTACTTGCAAGATGAACATCAGCATGTTCTTCTTGTTCTGCTATCGTATAAACGTACTCCTTCCCAATCAGAAGAACATGCGTCGTGGAAGTACAAGTAGCAGCGTTCAACTTTAATTTCGCCTCGTCTCCTACAATGCCTGCTAATGGATGCGGACGTGATTGTAGTTTTGCAGCTGCTCGTTGCATCATAGTCGTGGAGGTAACAGGAGATTTGGATACTTCCCCATCCCCCACCTTCACTGAAGAGTTTTCATCGTCACCCACGACGACCTCAAGAATTTCTAACATTTTTGCTTTCTCAGTTCTTTCGACTGCAACACGTGAGACATCAGGAGATGACACAGGCGAACCAGGAGCACTAGAACAAGAACTATTCTCATCTCCTCGAGACGACGCCATGGTCATGTAATCTTTCAAGGACATCATTGCTCGACCCCGTTTCATGTTTCTTTGAACGAGAGGGTTCCGCCGAAGTGTCGTTGGCACATGCGCGAGATATGAAAGTCGTGATGTGCGGGGTCTTTGCTATATCTTCAAAGACAGAACTTCTGTAGAAGTTGTTCTAATCAGATGAAAAGCATGATATCATAATAAATTTGATCTACTTGACATTTGATTTTGTTGCATCAAGTAGATCACCTTCAACAGCTTAATCTGTGCCGTCATAAATCTTTGCCATCTGCAACGGCACCAGTTTGCAAATCCTCAAAAGGATTATGTGGTGACGCATTTTTCGCCTTCGCTGGTGGCTTTAAGAGATCAAACAAACTTTCGCTCTCCGTTATATCGCAGAGAGGCATGGCTGCGCAAGCACGCGTGAGAGGAAGAAGCATGCGATCTAGTTGTCCAGTTGTTCTTCTATCATGGTTGGTAGTTCTCTCAGAAAGTTCAATATTGTTGTGGCCGGAGTCAAATGAAGATTGCGCAATGCAGTTCCTATCGGTATTGCTTCCTGCGGTTCTGGCCTGGAAAAAGGACTTTGCAATAGCTTTGAGATTGCGCGTACATTTATGCTCGTTGGAGTCCATCCACCTGGCAGGCGCGAAGAGTTTCTGCAATGCGACGTCTAGTTCATGAAGCGTTTCGTCAGTTACAGGATTTCTAGGGCTTGCAGAAGAGGAGGAAGGACTTACAAACGGAATCATAGGTTTTGTAGATGAGTGAAACTCGCTACTAGTATTGTTGTCCATACATCTCGTGTCCTGATGTTTGATATCATTACTTTCTTCATGAGGTGATTGAAGAACTATCTCCTTCGCCTGCGCCGCATGGTCAGCATCTTGATGTTCAGGTCTAAGAACATTGCTCTTGTTATTAGCCGGTGTACTAGAAGAGCAGCCCCCCTTCGTGCTGTTGCGTAACTCACAAGAACTTCTAGCATCACCTGGAGGTCCAGGCTCGTTTACAACATCACAAAACGACACTTCTGCACCTTGTTTTTCCCGTGACGAAGTGTTTTGTTCGGGTGTAGAACAAGTTTGTTGTCCACTTGTCGCATCTTCACTCGAACAATTTTCATACGAAGTTCTAGCACTTTTCTTCTTCCTCGCAGAAGCTGAGCCACTACTGGTACTCCTCTTGTTGTTCTTCACAGGAGAAGAAGCAACTTCTTCAGAAACATTTTCCATGTTCGCCTCTGCAAGGCCGTTCTCCTCTTTGCCAGGATCAGGCAACCTACGGTCCTGACTATCGCCACCAGCACCAAACGGTAGTGCTGCAGCACTAGAATCATAACTCGTAATACAGTCATTATCCTTTTTGAAGATGTTTTCGGTCTCCTTGTCTATTTCCGCGGCCTCTGCACTAGTTGTATTTTGCAGCACCTCATGATATTTATCATCGCCGACAACCGCACTGCAGCTACTAGAAGTGCAGCTGCTACTTGTCTTCTGTTCGCAATGCCGACTACTGCTGCTGCTACTACTAGAAGCGCCAATGATTACTCCTGACGATGTAGTGACTCCATCTTCATCTTCTTTTCTGAAACGCAAAGGACCTACACTACAAAACTTCTCGTCTGAAACGCTTTCGTCGATCACTGATAGTGATGTATCCCCTTGACCACGGGAAGATGATGGCGATTGCTCCCCTTCTGCATTGCCATGAACGCCTTCTTCATCAGGTTCCTCCACGTTGTCGCGGGAAGGTGAAGATTCCACTTGTTCCTCCTCCACTGCTTCGTCATTCCTTTCATGCGAAGCCCCACGTGCATGCCCGTCTTGATTTCCTCTTTCTTGCCTGGCAAGCAGGGTGTCTTCGATGGCCTCACCGCTATCGTCCGAATCTGAGAGGACTACTATGCCATCGTCCAAGAACGGGTTGCATTGCGGTCCCTCATCGATTTCCATTTTTTGTGTCTTACGCAAGATGAGGAACTAGTACAAGCTACAAGAGATTAGGAACTAGAACTTGGTGGCAAGACATAACTAAACATACAATGCCAATCGATTAGAAGTGGACAACGTTTTTGAGATTCGGACGATTGATCGCAACATCGACAACAATAGATCATGGACCGGTTATCTTATGAAAATCAAAAAAAAACTTGCGTGCGGAAGCTTCTACGGCTGTAGGTCAGGGATTAGCGTACGCACTTTGTTCTTAGTTCATATTGCGCATCGTCCGATCGCAAAATCAAAAAAAAACTTGCGTGCGGAAGCCCCAGAATCACAAACAGACATCTTTGCCAACGAACAATATTTTCCTTTCAAAGTTTCTTTTTCTTTTAAAACATCAAGGTGCAGTTTTCAGTAATAAATTCGCGATGCATTTGAAGGTGTTTGTTCCTTGAAATCTGCAGAGGTGCGCCTCGATCTGAAGAACTATGTGTGCAACTAGTTGTGGCTCTCTAAGAATTTGGATAAGGCGTTCGAGGCATCACTCCTTCTAGCGAAGTGTAGTGTTCAAAGAGTAGCATCGACGGGGTAGAAGGTCTTACTTGTTCAGCAGGATGTCCACTGCGCATCCGATGAAATCTCCACACACGCAGGCAAGGGACATCCGCTGGCTTGCATCACACGCCGGCAGGGGGAGGCGTCTTGAGTTGGCGATCGTGCAGTACCATGCAAGGGCAGGAGAGAAAGCTGCTGCCAACCCGAGGCGCCGAAGACTCTGCCACCGCTCGCAGCCGGTTCGTCACTCACCACGAAAGAAAGAGGCGCAGCAGCGCAGGACCCTTCCCGCGGGGTGCTACAACATCCGCCCGGTAGCACGAGGTCCTTTGCCGCAGCCACACCTCCGCGCTTTTCGGTTCATATATTTCCGCCTCTCCGCCTCCGCTTTTTCAGGCTTCGCTTTTTCGACCAAGGTTAGCCGAGTTCGGTTTTTCTGCTGGACTTCTGTCTGCGTTGGGCTATTGTTTCGCCCTCTCGTCGCTCTTCGGAGCTCCAAAGCAGCAGCGCCGAGGCCCCCAACAGGCGGGAGACGAGAGACGGGACCCGGACCCGCCCGCGGCTCCAAAAGGAGGGCGGCGCGCCCGAGGACTTCAGCACGCGGAGAGGCCGCCGGGGCGCCTGCACGGGCGGCAGGCGCGGGACCAAGGCGCCGCCCGATGCGTGTCGAAAGCCCTTTGGAGGCACGGAGAGGCCCGGGCGCCCGGGGGGAACCGCCAGGCGGGCCCGGCCTCCCCGCGGGGGCGCGCGTTTGCGCTCAGACAGCCGCCGGGCGATAAAAAACGGGTGGGAACGGACGGGAAAAAGGGCCCGCACTACTGCGGGGCGACGGGCGTCGGCGCGGAGGCCCGCGCGCGGACGGCGCCACGGTATGGCCTAGATCGCCCTCTCTAGGGGCCTACGGGAAACTAATGCGGGAAATTGGTGCGCTATTTTTCCCATTCGTTTCCGATGGGCTGGCCACTCCCTCGCTTCTATTCAGCTCACGTAGCGAGCAAGCCAGGACTTTGGCGTCGGTGCTGGGGCTTGCGCCTGGGTTCTCCTCGGCCGTCGCTCGTCGGCAAACAGGAGCGGGCGCCCTTAATGGAGAAAGACGCGGAACTCTCTCGCTTCCATCAGCCGCGCGGCCGGCCTTTCCGCTTGCCTTCTGCGAGTCTGAAGCCATCGGGGTTCGCATTGTGTTTAATTCCTAACAGCTTCAGACTCGTAAGGAGTCCCGTCCGCGTGGCCATCCTCTCCCCTCCCTTCTGCAAGTCTGAAACTATTACGGACGGGACACTTCTCGACTTATCGCGGGCCGGCTGCTCGGCAGCTCTGCGCTGCGCGTCTGTTATCGAATTACCGCGCGCCGGCTGCTCGGCAGCTCTTCGCTGCGCGTCTGTTGTCGACTTATCGCGGGCCGGCTGCTAGGCCTGCGCTGCGTGGCAAATCTACTGAGAGAGACCCACCCAAGGAACAAGCGGAAACCAGCAAGAGCCCGCCCAAACTGGTCAAATTTGACAAATTTCATAGATGCCCGTCTATTATTTTGGAGGAGCCTGAAACAGATGGAAAGGCTCCGCCACAAACTTCGAGACTTCTCCGAGGCCCTGGCTCGCTTTGGTAGGTCTCCGGCGCGGGGCCTCTTCTGTGTGGGTGCTCTTACTTCGCTGCGGAGGCCATTCCCTAGCGCAGCGGTCGCCTTTGGTGTCCATGCATTCCTCAGCATGCCTTGCCGCGTGTCAGGGGTGGCGTAGTGACAGGCTACCAGGCTACGCGCGTGGCCTAGCGGTGGCGATTCATAAGATAGCAAAATAGAGCAGCGAACGCATTTCCGTGGAGACTCTAAAAGAAAAGCACCCCGCTCAGCTTTTTCGGCTCAGAATCTAGGGAGGGGCTCTAGAGCTGGGGGCCTTTTCGGCGGGGATAAAAAGGCAGGACAAGTCTCAACTTTTTTGGCTCAGGATCTAGGTATAGGGAAGGGACTTGGCTGCGAATCTATTTCCGAGGGGCCTGAACAAAATGACACGCCCCCCATCTTTTCCGCCCAGAATCTAGATGGGAGAGCGTTGGCTATAATTTTACTTCATTTGGGGCCGGGAAGCTGTCCAGGACACTGCCCAACTTTTTCCGCTCAGAATCTAGAGGGAAAGGCTTGGGCTGTGGGTTTTTTCCGGTGGGGACCGGAAAAGGCTGGACGCCTTCCACTTTTTTGGTTCAATTACTGGAGAGGGGAGCTTGCGCTGTGAATTTATTCCAGTAGGGACTAGAAAAGGAGGAGCTTGCCCACTTTTTGCGGTTCAATTACTAGAGGCGAGCGCTTGGGCTATGAACTTGCTCCAGTTGGAACCAGAAAAGAAGTGACCGCCTTCGCATTTTGCTGCTCCATTACTAGAGGGGAGCGCTTGGGCTGCGAACTTATTGCAGTAGGGACCCGAAAAGAGCGAACCTCCCCGCGTTTTTCTGGCCAATTACTAGAGGGGAGCGCCTGGGCCGCAAATTTATTCCATTTGAGACCAGAAAGGGAGGGGCCACCTTTGCTCGCTTTTGCTAGTTTTCCTCTTGAAAATGAGACCGCCAGGAATCTTCCCCAGTGCTGTCCTATGTCAAAAAATCTCAAAAAGTGCACCCCTTTGAATTGCGCAGCCATCTGCTCCATGCTCGAAAATTTGACGAGGTCAACACCTTCCGCCTCTGAGTCTGTATCTCTCAGCTGAGCAGGCGCCAACTTTTTAGGAAGATAAAAAGCAGGCTACTCTCTGACTTTTCTACTTGCAGCAGAGTAATTATCTTACCCCGCGAAACTCTTAGGCGAAACCGTTAAGGGACAGCGTTGCTTCGGTTCCCTTGTCGATTTCTCTGCCCCCTTTTTCCCCCGTTTGCCTCCCCCGGTCTTGCTCAAGGCGTGGCCACGTTTTGCTCTTGGGCCGTCCGCTTTCTTATCGGTTTCGCGTGCTGCCTTCTCTTCTTTTCTGTGCTTTTCTGGCGTCCACTCGAAACCGATACCCGCATGGAGATCGAAACTGTTAAGGGACAGTATTCGAGGAATTTGAAACCGTTAAGGGACTTGCAAAACGGGCAACGAGTTGGGGAATTTTTTTCCACTCGTCGGGTACTTTTTTTCTTTCTTTAGGCCTCTCGCCTTCGTTTTTTTTGGTTTCAAAAATTTAGAAAGTGTGGAGCTTCTGTGTCAGCTTTCCGTAGAGAATTCATGAGAACGAAACTGCTAAGACAATGGAGAAAGCTGCCAGCTTTTCAGTATTTTTGAGACGGTGAAACGCAGCGCAAGTCTGTTGTTCCCGCTACATTTTTCCAAAACGGAACCGCTGCTCGCGTGGTTCATCCTCTTGCGGAATATTTGAGAATATTCGAATATTTTGGGAATATTTGATAATATTCCGGGAATATTTGGGAATATTCTGGGAATATTAGGAAGTAATTTATTTTATGCGGGAATGTTTTTCTTTTGAATATTTACGCTTAAGGGGAAAAATATGCTCGGGAGTTCATGCAGTGGGGATACCGAACTCCTCGGGAGCCTCGGGACATGCCTTTGGAGTTGCCTGTGGAGTTCGTTTCATGCGGCCATCGAAGTGACGAGGATGTCCAAAGCGTTGCCATTAAAAGAAGAAGTAAATAATATTTATAATCTTTTTAAATGTAAACGCTTCGGACATCGTCTCCACTTCGATGCCCGCATGAAACGAACTCCACAGGCAACTCCAAAGGCATGTCCCGAGGCTCCCGAGGAGTTCGATATCCCCATGGCATGAACTCCCGAGCATATTTTTTCCCTTAAGCGTAAATATTCAAAAGAAAAACATTCCCGCATAAAATAAATTACTTCCTAATATTCCCAGAATATTCCCAAATATTCCGGGAATATTTTCAAATATTCCCAATATATTCGAATATTCTCAAATATTCGAAAAATATTCGAATGTTTTAAAATCTTCGTCGGAGACGCAGCCGCCCCGAGCTCGTCTCCAGTCAAGACCTACCACCTCTCTTATAATCTCCCCGCGCGGTGTTCTTCATTCCGTCGCAGATCTCTTCCCATTTGCGCTGCGTGTCGGTTCATCCGCGTGGCATGAACTCCCGAGCATATTTTTTCCCTTCAGCGTAAATATTCAGAAGAAAAACGTTCCCGCATAAAGTAAGTTCCTTCCTAATATTCCCAGAATGTTCCCAAATATTCTGGGAATATTTTCAAATATTCCCAAAGTATTCGAATATTCTCAAACATTCTCAAAGTATTCGAATTGTTTGAAATATTCGTCGGAGACGCAGCCGCCCCGAGATTCTCTCCAGTCAGGACCTAAAACCTTTCTTATAATCTCCCCGCGCGATGTTCTTGATTCCGTCGCAGATCTCTTCCCATTTGCGCTGCGTGTCGGATCATCCGCGTGGCATACAGTAAGTTGCTTCCTAATATTCCGAGAATATTCCCAAATATTCTGGGAATATTTTCAAACATTCCCAAAGTACTCGAATACTCTCCCCAGTCAAGGCCTACCGCCTTTCTTATAATCTCTCCGCGCGATGTTCTTGAATCCGTCGCAGATCTCTTCCCATTTGCGCTGCGTTTCGGTTCATCAGCGTCGCGCCTCGCCGTCTCGTTCTCTCGCTTGTAATTGCTTCGCGCAACGCTTGCCGTTTCTTTCGTAAAGCGTTGCGCCCCTTTATACGTCCCGGCCTCTTATTCATTTCGCGAGTCCCGGCAACGGGGCCGGTTCTTGCTTGTTCCGGCTTGCTCGGTCTGTGGCTCTCACGGCTTGGCCGCTCTTGTGTTCTTTCGCTTCTCTTGTGCTCCCGTCGTCTGGTCCCCTTTTGCGTCTAATCTTTATGCCCGTGGATCTCCAGAATCTCCTCGGTGGCGTGGGCACCTCATGCGGCCGGGCGTGTGAGTGGGGCCGCAGGGTCTCTGAGCTCTTGGAGGTGAACGATTCTTTCGATATACGCGGAATGTATAAATGCCTCGCGCGGGGCGAGTCGTTCGTTTTGACGGGCACGCTGCGAGGAGGGTACAGGAATCTCCTGCTGGCTGATCCGCTGGAACACTTGGCGAGAGACGACGTCTCCCCCGTGGTATTCCTCACGACCCGGCTCGAGATTGAAGATAGCGAGACGCTGCCTTTCGCTCCATTCGTCGACACCCCCTTGCTCTTTTGGTCTGAGCTGGGTGCGCCTTATCTCTCCGGAAGGCAGCTGCAAGACGCACAGGTCGTGATGGACTCCTTCAACGACCTCGTCCTCCCCTATGATCATACAAACGAATATAATGTGCCGATGGAAAATATCCGCGTGCGAGGCGTCATCGCAACAACTGAGATGAGCGATCGGGAACACTTCCAGTCGCTTGGCATTCCCGGAGATTTACGACAATTCCACATCGAGTCTGAACCAATGGCCGGCATTGACTGGGAGACGGTGGCTCTTACCCCGTTCTGTCGCAGCTGTTTTGCGCTCTACCTGTGGGCCTCCGCAACGGATAACTACTGCCCAATGTTGCCGGATCCCGTGCCGGATGACGCAGGTGCCCCATAAACTTCATCGGCATTCGCCCGCCCGTAGACAACTTAACTGAGATCACCGCCATCACCGCCAGCAGCCGTGCGCGAGTGCTTGCGCCTCGCTAAGTGGGGAGACCTCATGTGCCGGATCCTCGTCTTTTCTGTGTTCTTCATTTGTTTCCTGACTTTCTGCAAAGCCTCGCGGGCTCTGCCTTTTATGTCCCAGCTTCCTTCTTTGGGATCTAGTCTGCAGGCGTTCTCCCCCGAGTCTGCAACTCGACCGACATTCTAACTTTTATGGCGTTTTTCGATTTGAGGGGAAACGCAGAAAACGGAGAAGAGGTGGCGAACGGAGTCCTCACATGTGGCCAAACATGTGACTGGGGGAAAAGGATCGAAGAACTATGCAGATATAATCCGGGATTTAATCTGCGGGAGTTTTATCGTGTCTTTGGCCGCAATGAGGACTTAGTCTTGTGCTACGGCCCGCTAGACGAGCAGACCCAGGACGGAATGGACTATAAAGAGCTCTTGATCCAGGAGCCCGCGTCGCAGTTGTCGACAGACACTGTTTGTAGCGTATTCCATTTCCGGCATGAGGCGGACCTCAGTTTTTACCCAGTGGTTGACCCGCAGGCCGCCGCCCCGGTCGCTTTCTTCCACCGCCTCGGGTCACTCAGGCCGCTTTGGGAGGAGTCGCCTGGAATTCCTCCAGCTCAGGTGGCGCAGGCCTTCGCGAGCAAGACAGTGACCCTGGGCCCTGAGGATTTGCGACTTCCTAGAATCGTCAAAGATGTGGCTTCTGTTGTAGTCGACACATATCTTCCCGCCGAGGATCTTTCCTGGCATCGTTGGGGCATCCCAGATCACGTCCGCCGCTTCTACCTTCTCGACGCGCCGCCTGATTTCCGTGATGGATACAGAAACCCGCTGAACGTCACGCCGATCTGTAAACCCTGTTTCAACGCCTACGTTGTGGCCGCGTGCTACGACCTTTGCCACCCTTGCCTCCCGGAGCGAGAAGCAGTGGATGAGGAGCAAGGACGCCCACAGCAAGAGGACGACGAAGAACTTCAGGGTTCTTACTCCTCTTCTTCGTTAAATGCTCCAGAAGTCATGTGTTGTATGTTGTCTGTACTCGGAGGAGCTCTTGTCTTCCGTCAAGCCTGCCGTTTCTCGCGTTTCGCCTATTCTTCGCTGCACTTCCCGTCTCTTTCTGGGTCGTTGTTCCGCTCCCGTGCTGAGAAGATTAACGTCCACTCCCACTCCCTGTTTTCCGTCCGCGCGCCCCTTATTTGTCGCTTGCGCATAGCATCTCCTTCTCCCGCTTGTCAATTGATATCCTTTTCATCCTTTTTGTGTTCCCCACTAATCTTACTATACCATCACCTTTTCAGGTAACTGAGCCTCCGGCAACCCTTTGCAACTAATATTGAGATGGAAAAAAGAGAAATCTGGAGATGCCATGGATGTAGTCGTGGATCACGAGGACTATTGATAATCAGGTACACACATCCTCTTTTAGTAGGTCTTTCATGTTATTTGAGTTTCATCATCTTCATCGTAGATCATATATGATCCATGTACGTCGCCTCTTTGCGTGGCGTGTATTTGCATTTGTTGTCTTCTCCCTCAAGCTATGTCACCTGCACCTGTACACCTTCCCAAACAACTTCTCGAGGTTTTCGGCCTTTGCGTTCTTCGCTGGATTGAATGGAAGCCTGCGACAATGACCATGAACTTAGATCTACTTCGTATTTGTTGAGACTGACCGAATATTTACAATCATGAACACATAGCTAATTTCATCATCTGCTTTTGATGTGCGTATGACTGTTTATGTGCGCTCTCTTTGCTTCAAACAAACATTTGACATGCATTGTTCGCCCGCTAAAAATGCACTCAATTGCAAGCTTGGTGTCGTGGTTGAAAAACATTGAAAGGAATTCAGAGATTTCGAAGCTTGCCTTCATATAAGTAGTTCATCAATCTGCATCGCGTGCTTTAGAGGATCTCGATCTGAGATCGCGGGACGGTCACTTTTTCTCTCTTGCGAAATGTGTTCGCAATCCCCCAGTGGCCCCGAGCACGCATAATGAAAGTCATCTGCTGTTGAAAGCATGAAAGTTTTACTCTCTTTTGCCGCGATAGATTGCAAAAACAATTTTGATCCTCCAGATCCTTGCTTGCGCGGTCGGCAATCTTAGATGTTGATCTCCTGCAGCGCGGGAATTTGTTGCATCTACAATCTCAATCGATCCCTCTTGTAAATGTATCAAAAATTATCGTTCTATGACGGCTGGCGTTTGTGCAAAAAAAAGTGAAACTCATTCTGTATGACATGATGACGTCGGGCGACCATCTTGCAGGTATGCATAATGCGTCAGAAATATAGTGCTTGACGACGGTTCCTCCCAGCGCGTCAGGAAATATAGTGGTTGGCGACGGTTCCTCACAGCGCGTCGGGAAATATAGTGGTTGACGACGGTTCCTCACGGCGCGTCGGGAAATATAGTGCTTCATGAAGCGCCATGACACGGGGTCCGGAAGTATATGCAAGAGGAGTGTGCAGCTATATGCATAAAGGGAACATGTCAGAGGACATATCTGGCAGAAGGCGTATACCTAAGCGATAGGAGATGCCGAAATGTGGAGTATATCAATTTCATCAACGATAAAGAAGGGGGTCTTCTTATTCGGGGTCATATACAACAGAGGAAGCAAGGGAAATATGCCGACGAGTGCAAGCATTGAAGGTTCGCATGTGAACCGCGGCGAAGAATTGGGTACATCGAATAGGAATATGAGTGCGAGCATCGACGGTTCGCATGTCAACCGCGGCGAAGAATTGGGTACATCGAATACGAATATGAGTGCGAGCATCGAAGGTTCGCATGTGAACCGCGGCGAAGAATTGGGTACATCGAATACGAATATGAGTG